GAGCCGAGAAGGTGGAGCTGACTCCCATACAGTATTTTTTTTCATTCACCCTCTCGCACGTCATTGCCTGCCGACCTCTCCTAACTCTGGCGTGGCGGGCGGAATGAGGGTACCCCGGCGTATAGCTCGTAGAAGGAGGGCTGTTTCCGACCTGCCATACAAGGGGGCCTAGAGATAGATACGTTACACTACTCTCGTGCGCTTCTCTTTCGTTCCTGCGCGGGCAAAAGACCCTCGCGATTTTTTATCCGTCGGAATCCGTCATCACGCTGCTCCGTGGAGGTCCAGATAGAGACCGACCAAACCAAACCAAAACCGAACCAGTGACACACACACACACACACACACACACACACACACACACACACACACACACACACACACACACACACACACACACACACACACACACACACACACACACACACACACACACAATCTGGATGTCATTTTAACACGGCCTGAAATCACTTCCCAGTCCAAACGGGTTACTGATGGCCGTGCCTGGATGAGGGGGACCGAGTAGCGTTTCTTAGGAGGAGACATTAACGCGTTAACGAGTGAAAATGTGCGGCGCGGAAGGAGGGGAAAACCCTTTTTAATGCAATCCTGACTTTCATTAGCAGACTAGAAGATCTAGTCTGCTAATGCAGTGGAGGAGCTGCGCCCTGGAAACCGGCCTCAAACGCACGCGGACCATTTGTTGGCTGCTTAAATCCAAAAGGACACATGAGGGAACAATAACGCCTGCAATAAAGATGTGTTCAGAACCTCTGCAGAACGTTTGGAGGCACTGACGTCCCCAGGGCCTCGCTCACATTTTGTTCCTCGTCCCGTCTGTCTAAGTTCCTCTTATCTCTGTACTGGATCTTTCTAACAAAAAGGAACAAGATGAAACCTATTAGAACATAGGAGCAGCTGTTGGTAATGACGGCAACTGACAAGTTGGAATTTAAGTGATCCAGATGTGTGTCCAGAGAACTTCCATTTACAAAGTCATGCATCAGAACAAACGTGAATGTTTGGCTGTTATAAAAGACCAAACAGATCAACAGTAACATTTCTGCATCTCAACTTATAACTTAACTCCCTCCGATACACTATTTAATTTGTTCTGCTGGAGAACATCTATAAAGCTCAATACTTATTTTGTTTAGTTTGTAACATGAATGTGCAGCCATTATAAAAGAAACACATACACAACACATGTTTTATAGACAAAGAAATACTGGTAATTTATTATTTACTAAATTACTACAAGTAGAAGTTGTGCATTGAACAATATTCTTCAAATCCCAAAATAATCACTTTTGGTCCATTGTTCAAAGTCAAATAAGTCAAAGAGTAAGAATAATAAAAGGAAAAGAAAGAGAAGAAACTGGAACATAATTTGACCACAATAACTTTGCCGTGTGTGGAATGTAATGCTGAGCCCAAAACAAACACTGGGGTTTGAGGCCTAAACATAAATTCTCCAAAATGCTACAGCTTCAAACCCGGGAGGCTAAAGAGGAAGATTACACCGGATCATATTGTCCTTGATTAGAAAGAGAACACGGACAACTCCCACACCGCTGTCCTTTTAGAACACCTGGAGCCTGTGAGCAAGGGCCGAAACCCCGAAACAGCTCCCACCTCCGTGAAATATGCAAATACAGACGTATGAAGAAAACATCTAGAGATACTGACTAAGGTGACTTAGTTCAAATGAGGCAAAAAAAACTCACCTTTCGGCACGCAAGACCCCACTGAGGTACGGATGATCCCACGGCATGAGCTCCTGTGAAACAATCAAATAAAAGAACACACTGAATCGTAGTTCTATATCAAATAGATACAAAAATGTATCTCAAAAAAACAACAACAACAAAAATAAAAGCTCACTCACAGAATTTTGGGGGTTGAGTTTTTTCTTCATGTTCCTCAGCATCGTGAAGTCTTTGGCCGTTCTGTGAGATAAAAGAGAAACGGCTCAGAGCTCTTTGCCTTGAGGCCTTCATTCCAGTCTTTAACCATTTATCTCTGCTCAGGGTCAAAGGCTGGGAGGGACCTATCCTATCCCAGCATGCACTTGGCTTAAGGCAAGGAAACACCCTGGACCGGCTGCCGGCCCACACTTGTGCTTGTGGGTGATTTAGAGACTCAGGTGCACCCGGCTGCATATTTTCGGGCTGTTGGGGATTACCGAAAGGCGACGTAGACGAGAGTCCACGTGAGGGACTTAAAAGAAGACGCATTAATGTGAGCAGGCGAGAGTGGGTGGAGCAAAACAAGACATCAACAGTAGAAACAAGACGAGAACTAAAAATAAATAAAGTCTGTGGGTCATTTAGATAACATGGACTCAACTTAGAGTCAACTATGAGCACAATCCTGAATGACACAAAAGACTTAATGGAATATTAAATACATGAAATTATTAAAAAAAGAAGCATGGAGCAGCCCGTTGACCTCATACCTGTCCGACAGCTTGTCTGTTAACAACTGGAGGAAGCTCATCACCGTCTCTGCAAACAGAAATACACACGAAGCCGCAGCACGTTAGTCCGCAGTCGCCAAACGAACTACAACGGCAACTCCGAAAAACAATTCCTGTTGCACCTGGCGTCTTGGCCATGGTTCCCTTCAGGGCTCGGTGTCCGTACGACTCGTAGCCCACCAGAGTGGCCAGTTTGTATCTGCACTTCAGCAGCTCTTCCAGGCACTCCATCAGATCGGCATTCGGGTAGAGGAAAATCCTGTAGGCGATTTCTCGCACCTACAAGTGGAAGAGAATAAAGAGGAAAAGTCACCACACGGCACGGACCATCAGCTGTTTGGACGGGCATATGTTCTACATATCTGTGTGAGATTGTTGTAGTTATTTTGTCTTTTGTCTTCAATATACTTCCGTGTCAAATCGCTCTTGGCTTTAATTTTTGTCGTGATGATGCCTTAAGCCTCCTTCATGGGAGAAAAACCGTTGACATCAATAAAGACTATTCTTGTAACATAAAACTTAAAGATCTGAAATTAATATAAATATTGAAATCGAGATTTGAACAATTAGCTATAAGAGGTATAGCTACCTCCAGTAAATGCAGACAGAAAGGAGGAGCCAATATTTCATTAAAAAATGCCTTCAAACTTCCCTTTTGTTGTTTTGAAAGCGTTCGTTTCATCATTAGTCTGGAAAATATTGACTATACTATAATTTTCAGAATTCCCGTAATCCAATATATGCCAACAGTGCCATCTGGTGACCAAAGGCGTGAACTGCTGGTGACCCAGAGCCAACAAGGCGCTTACCAAGTCATCGGGGGAATCTGCGTGTAATCCCCCAACTTGAATGAAGCTTCCTTCGTCTGCAAAGTGCAGGTGCAGATGTTCGGGAATGGCCGACCTCGCGATTCTGTTCGGCTGGTGAGAGCCGACCAGAAACTCGTTGTTCAGATCCAACAGCTTTACGTGGAGGGCGACCGCCTCTTTCCTCTGCAGACAAAGGAGCAGCAAAGTTTGGGTTAACGCCATTGAACAGTATATGATTACATTATTGATTACTTGTTACATAGTTTGAACACCTCACCAGTTTGTCATCCAGATGAATTCCACTGATTTCAAAGTCGAACAGAAACAGCTCCGCCACTCGTCTGGAGAAGGCCGAAATCAATCAATAACTTATCAATAGACATCTACGGAATTATGGAAAGTGGTGAACAATTAATCCTTCGTACAGACACCAAATGAGAGGATGGCAAAATTACCTCGTATCAGGGTCCAACTGAGCCACAATCTCCGGGTTCTCAAGCAATATTTTTAGGCTCTTGCACAGATCAACATTGGTGTTCAGCCTGAAACAAATCCATTCATATTGTACAGGTTTCCTTTTAGATCAGAAGCTAGAAGTGTGCGAGGGTTTTTTTTTTTGTCCACGGTGGCCCTTACTTCTCCACGACTGTGCCGATCTCTATGCAGGCCTTCTCTGCGGCCTCGCGAAACACCGGATCTGGATGGGCCACTTTAATAAAGTCCGCCTGCAAAAGAATTAAAAAACGACAGTCGGCGCACAACTCTCTCTCTCTCTCGAAGAAGACATTTTTATTTATTATATTAAGTATTATTTTGCACATACAGGAAATTGTTCTCTGCATTTAAATCATCCCACACAGTGGGAACAGTGGTCTGCCGTTGGATGTCTTGCTCAGGGACACTTTGACATGGGACATGGAGCAGCAGGAGTTCGAAACGCCAAACCTGCGTCTCCCGGCGGACCCTAACTACTCCGTGAGCCACGGTGCACATCATGCACAACAACAAAGGTCTACAGGAATGCACATCTCCAGGGGTTTATCTCACCAGATCGGCCACTTTGCACAAAGTATCAGAGAGTTGGTCGAAGGACTCGACGGTCTGGACTCCAGGAGGACCGGAACAGGCTCTGTCCACCAGACGCTGTGTGTTCTTCAGAGCGGTTTCTGTGGCAGCCTTGAAGCCTGCAGGACAGCTGAGCTCTGGCACCCCAAACAAACCCTGCAGCCAGAGGTCACACGGGTCACACGGTCACACACACACACACACACACACACACACACACACACACACACACACACACACACACAGAGGGAATGACGATGTTTTTGGAAACATGATCGGATGTCTCTAGTCACGCTATTTAAATAAAAAGCTGTTCACTAATGTAGCGGTGTGTTAGCCTAGCAGACATGTTTGAGACAAATACGAACCACGTTTTTCTCCAACACGTTCAGTCGTTTGTGATGTTTTGCATTGAAAGCAGCTCCAACAGGCGACCACGTCGTGACATTCCTCCGAACGTGCGTCCATAAGCTCCGGTGCTTGACAAAGTGAAGCAAGCTTTTGCACGCAGCCATGTCGTGCTGTAAGTTGAGTTATCTGCTGCCCTGCAAACGTCTACTGAGACTTGTAGTTCTGACAGGGGCTGACAGAGGACATGCTAATGTATTACCTTCAAACGTTAGCCCGTTTTCAAAAGCCGGAACTGTCAAAGACTGATGTTCGTTAATATATTCTAACCGTTTGTCTTTAATTCAGGCCTAACTGAAACGTATTAAGAGGTGTAACGTTACCTGTAAAGACAACAGCTCACATGTTAGCTCAATGACTATCTAACCCAAGATGACTGCAGCAGGTGGTATTTTCGTGATTTATTTTTATGAATATATATATATTTTTTAATCTTCATACCAAATGTAAATACAACGTGTCTCATGCGTAATCGTGTTAGATTCGTATAATGTTGATAACTAACAATAATAATAAAAAGGTAAGACAGATGTATCGAAAGTGCGACCAACTACTAAAAATCTTTACACGATGACGTCACAAAAAAGCGCCGTTGGTTAATTCTTCGCAGCACTTGCATCATAAATACAAGTCATTGAATCTGCCGTTTAACTGAAGAGTTGTATGCCATATGACAATTATATTTGACTAAACAAAATATACAATGGAAAAATTAAGGATAATAAAGAAAGCTTAGGAAATCGTTAATCGTTTTTCATTTCATCTGGAAGCTGATAATTGATTTATAGAGAAATCTATTGTTTTGTCATTTCATTGCTTGAAAACGGTTTAATGGATGCCTGGCAGTATTAAGATACGAGTACCAACACTATATGCAGCATGAACTCTGTTTAAGTACATGTATTACCATTATACATCACAGAAGATAGTAGTGAATGTCGTTTGAATTAGTTATATATTATTCCCTGAAAAGAAATTTTTCAAACTAGTGAATTATTTCTATAATTTGTGACAAATGTCACATTCTTGTCCAGAACTTGGGTTATAATGGGTCAAGATTCCATCTCTAAAAGACAGGATTTCACGAGCAATACCTATTTTATTGCGTTTAACGTCTGTTGAGTTTATACCTGCATGAGTTAACTGGGCGGGACAAATCTAATATAATTAAAATATAATTAATGAATATTTATGATGTCAATAGAGAGGATTGACTAAAACACAAATACACCTTGAAATTATGTCTTTATTAATATGAAGAATAACTCAATCATTGCACTCCACAACCACATTGCATTAACAGTTTTCCTGTGAAACAGATTTATTAAAGGTGTAGTATGAAAAACATTAAGCAAAATGTTATAAAGAAACCTCCCCATAAACAAAACTAAACCATTTGACTGGCAAAATGTCTTAAGTCATCTCTGAAAATAAATTTAATACTGAAAGTAGATAACACAGGACAACGATAAAAAGGTCTTCCCAATATGAGAAATCACAGTTTTTTGCAGTAAGTACTTTTGTTTACATGTACTTGGCAAAAAGGTACCAATTTGTGACATATGGCAAGACAATGTAGTTAACGGTAAAAAAGAAACGGAAGAAAAGTAAGGTAAATAAAAAAGCTAAGATTTAAATAAACGTTGTCACTGACAATCCTTTCAGACTAACTCTTGATCAACTATTTACATCTATTCAATAGAAACAAAACTAATGAATTAAAAAAATGAAATGGTATGGGGGGGTATACATGTTCGTTCATTTGGCTCATATCAACTCAAGACAGTCAAGCATTAAGTGTGTGGATTTACAAAGGAGTGCTGTAGTCAAAGTCTGAACACGAATCCGTTGTGTCCCAGTGAGTGTGCTTGGACATCCGCCAACGTGGAATTGTTTCTTGCCCTTGACTTCCGCTCAAAAAACAACTGCATGTCTGAGACTACAGTAAACTTATTTGACCCCTGAGTTTCTAATGCAAAACTAGTGTATGAAATACCTCATTACAGTGTATCTTAGTGCAAGCCATTTAACAGAGGTATATTAGATTAGCACCCAAGCTGACAAGATTCCCCAGAACGGTGACTCCGCTGGCCAAAAATCACAAAAAGCAGGATGGGAGGCGGCGCTTTGCTCTGTATCCTTGTGAGAACCAGCTTTTTCAAATGCTTGAATTTGTATTACATCTATAAACATGTTTTTCATAGAAAATATAAATATCCCTGAATGAAACAGATTCACAGCATTTACTTTCGAGGACTCCAGTGCTACTACCGTCGAGTGTCTCTAAAAGGTCTCCAGTTTAAGTCAGTCTCCCGGCCTCCGGCATCAGCTCCTGCTGCTCCGCCCCCTCACTCGTTGTCGTGGTAACTCACCGTTCGCTTCCCCCGGTTGCGAGTGTTCACGGGCGTCTTCCGCTTGCTGCTCGACTCGTCGCTGTACTCCTCCTCCTCTTCCTCTTCCTCTTCAGAGGCGGAGCGTTCGCGGCGGTGGCGCTGCCTCAGCTGGCGGCTGGTGGTCCGCTCACCCGCCCCGGGCCGCCTGTGACTCCTCCTCTTTGGACTGCTACGGGACCCCGAGCTGGCCAGCGAGCTCTCAGAGGCCTGAGACGACCGCTCGCTCTCCGAGTCGGCGCTGCGGTTGCTGCTGCTGCCGCGGCTCTCCTTCCGTTTGTGATTGAGCCGCCTGGCGTTCCTCCCGCTCCTCGAGCGATTGCAGTCTTCCCGCTCGGCCTCCTCGCTGCAATCGGATTGGGATTTGTTGACATCCCTTCGCACGGATTCCCTTCTGGGACGCTTCGAGGAGCCCAAATTGCTTCTTTTAATGTTCTTGGACGCTGGCTCCTTCTTTCCAACCGCTTCTGCTTCTTCTTCAGAGTCTGAGGTGTAAATGCGTTTCCTGCTGGAAGACAGCGGATTCCTAGCTTCAGTGGGCGAGGTTCTGTTAGACTCTCTCGTATTGTAGCGGTCGCCCGCCAGTGCCGTGGCTGCTTTGTTCCCGTTTCCCTGTTTACGCTGGCTTGCAGGCTCTTCCTCAGAGAGAGAGTTGTCACTGATGTATTTCTTCTTTGGGAGGGCGCGAAGATTCCGCCGCCTGTTGAAGGTGCCGTCCGAACGATTCGACTCCTCGTCCGACGAGCCGGTGGAGCGTTTCCTCCTCGACTTCCTCTCGGGTTTGTATTCCTGCTCAGAGCTCTGTGAAGCCGACGTGTCGCCGCGAGGCCGTTTAGATTTGGTCTTGTTTCTCGTCGGCCTCTTCGACTTGGTATCAACCTCTGATTCCTCACTTGACTGATCGCTCTCCACTTTGCGTTCTTCGTCCTTTGCCAGTCTTTTCTTACGTGGGCTCGATCTCTTTGGAGATTCGCCGGGTTCCTCTGATTTAGCACCATCCAATTTGGTAGTTGAGGCAGATTTTTGTTTATCTTGGCTTTTTGACGGTGAAACTTTACACTTTTTCTTAGAGTCCTTGTGGACCGCTTCTGCCACATTTTCTCCATTTTGGTGTAAGTGTTTTGGAGAACTGCTGACCTTCTCTTCGTCTGAGCTGATGGGAAGTTTGTGTCGCGTGGTCCTCCGTTCAGTGACCACCTCCTCTTCTTCTTCTTCCTCTTCCTCCTCCTCACTAGTAATGCTCTTTTTCTGGGCGTGAGGGGTTGCCGTGCTTCTCGAGGGTTTCTGAGACACAGAAACTTCTGATGCTCCAGAACTCTCCTCTGCAGCTTCCTCTTGCTCAGAGTTGCTGTCAAACCCTTGATGTTTTTTGCTGTATCCATTCACCTGGGACGCCCGATCTACAAAAAGGAAAAATAAAACATGTGTCAGAATTTATCACAATTACAAGCAACGGGCGAGAAAAAATAAAAATAAAATAATTCACACCCTTTCTCTTTTCAGCAGCTTGTCGTGATTCCTCTTTCTGCTTTTTAGATCTTGAGTCTCCGTTCTGCAGATTCTGGGAGGAGGAGGATGAAGCAGCGCCCTTGTCGCTTTCCTCTTCCTCGTTGGATTCGCAACCTGATTCTTTAGTGGTCCGAGAAGCTACAAAAGAGAACAAAGGGCAGAGTTTAAAAGCTGCCGAAAACATAAAACACAAATATATATTGAACAAAAATTCAAGATTCACACGTAACTCTTTCTGAATCTAAATGCCGCGGTTAAAATGTTGGATTTAAGATACAAGTCCAGAGAAGAACACTTTCATACCCCGCCTTGATGGCGCTTCATCAGAATCGGAGCTGCTCTGGATCACTGCGGTACGCTTGCCGGCCCGGACGGTGTGACGAAGGCGGCTGCTGCTCCTCCTCGGCTTCTCCTCCTCATCCCGCTCCTCAAAGTCCTCGTCAGACACCTCGAGGAGTTTCATCTTATTCACAGCCGCCCTCGCCGTCTTCCTCTTGAGCGACCTGCGGAGCGTGACCTCCTCTTCCCGGTCAGAGTCCCGGTGGCGACGCCTCTCCCTGCGAGACGATCTGCTGCCGTGACCGTTCACCTCGGCTGTGTCCTCTGAAAGCAAGCCGTGAGGGAGGGGGTGGGTGTTAGACATGATGGAGGGGGGGGGGGTTTAAACGTGATGGAGAGTGAGGGCAGTAGTTGCGGTGTTTACCAGCGCGCTTCCTGTCTGCGCCGGCGCTGTTCCTGGTCAGCCGTGTGCTCCTGCTGCTCTTGCTCCTGCTCGGGTAGCGGCTACGTAAAGACTGGGAGGGCCTCTTTCCCTCCTCACCTTCACTGTCGTCATCCTCTTCTTCTTCTTCTTCCTCCTCATCTTCCTCCTCGTCACTATCGCTCTCTGCAGCAGGAAAAAACAACAATTGAGGAATGTCCCACTGAAATGCGGCATGAGTGAAAAGTGGATTTTAAGAGGAAAACGCAACCCCCCACCTTTTTTCCTCTGCTTGGCCCGTTTGCTTCTCGTGACTCTTGCTTTCCCTCTGAGCCGATGGTGCCTTGATGAACCGTGACGCTTCTCCTCCTCCTCCGACTCAATCTGCTCGCTCTCACTGGCAGACTCTGAAACACAATTTAAAAAAACATTTCAGTCAAGGGTGACCAAGAAAAGGTAAAGCAACCAGAGCCAGATAGTTGGAAATGGAACCTTCCCAAATAAACTAAAGGGTGGTTTTGGTGAAGAAGGTTCTGCGACTTTGCCATCCTATGTTTAATTAAGAATGGAGAACAAGTGTCCTCCTGAGTCAAATGACTACAACGACACTGAGGGCTCTAGTTATCACAACACAATTCAGTAAAGTAAAAAAAACTGTCTATAACTGAGCTAGCAGTTATCAGTCCAACCAAGTTGTTGCAACTAGCAACTAACAGAACATACTGTAAAGGTTTTAAATATACATCTTCACAGTTCTGCTCGCCCTTTTCAAAAGGCTGAAATAGTGTGATAAATAGTCACATAAACACAGGCTTAGACAGAGCATGTGCAAACCAATGTTTTGTGTGCTGTTGAATTGCTATCCATCATCTGTTTATACAGATATCTAGTCTCTAGATGCCTGCGAAGTGATGCAAAGTCAATGATCTGGTAGCAAAGCTCGCCGCTAGTCTGCGCTGTTTAGGCAGCCGGATGTTTTAGGGTTGAGAGAGGGGAGAGGAGAAGTCTGCTGTTGGGCCATTACTGAAGTTATGTGGACAAGCCAGAATGTGTTGGACTGAATCGCTCTTCATCATACATGAACATCGCTCCAAAGAGGTCTGAGAGACCAAGGATGAGACGGCCTTTTGTACCTGGTATTGCCAAAGCAGCTTTGGAGGAGTCATCCTCGGAGGAGCTGTGACCTGAGCTCCTGCGTCGGCTCCTCCGTTGGCTCCTGCGTGCTCTTTCAGGAACAGACACTTTTGCTGAGGTAGATTTGTTCACGGATGTCGATTCCACTTTTTCCTGAGTTCTTACAGCACCTTTCTTTTGACTAAAGTCAAAAAAGAGAATGCAACTTTTCATCGGACCGCTAAATGTCGTGCACTGCCCTGATCGCTCGCACAGGGACCTTTTGTCAGATTATTGGAAGCAAATGTAAAAAAAAAAAAAACAGACCTTGATGAGGCGTTGGATTGATCCTGCTGCTGCATTTTCTTCCGGAACCTCTGACTGCGCCGGAGTCGGTCGCTGCTTTTGATGGCAGTTTTGTACTCTGATATGATTGTTCGGATTTGCTCCTCGAAGAAGGCGGAGATCCTCAGGGTCATGCTGTAAATCTAGAATGGAAAAGAAAAGGTAAGTAGGAGGAGCTCCAAAATAAAAAACAAATTGAATTTTGATTAAGTCAAGCATTAATGGGCCGTTAAGATCCGCTTACCTTGGAGCGTTTATTGGGTGTGTAGGCTTTAGCGTTTGCAAATATCAGCCGGGTGTCTTTGCAAAGTTCAACAGGGTTGTCATAGCGGTCTTCAAACAAGGTCCTTTTCACCGTGTTAAGGTCCATTGGCGTATCGATGATGTCATGGTAGTCCTGGACAAGTTAACAAAACGTGATTTAGACGTCATCAAAACACTAAGCACAAACGGCAAGATGTTGTTGTGTTGGCTCACCGGATAGTTCTGAGGATCCACAGGCTGCCTGAACGGCTCCGAGTCCTCACACTCAAAAATGTAGATGAGCAGACTCTTGCACTGTTCCTTCCAGGCGTCTCTGTCAGGCACCACCTCCACAGAGCGCTGCCATACAGGAGGAAATCCTCATGACATGCAATGCTGGCCATCTGCTGCTAATGAATCATTAACCCCCAAAATCTGCTACCAAATTTAATCCCCCCCCAAAAAATGTTGCAGACTGATTATTTAATGAGAATCAATAGAACTATTCTATCCCATCATCTCTTTACCTGGCGCAGTCGGTGTCCCGAGGATGTTCCTGGTGCTTCTGTATCCTCCTGTAGGGAGTATTCATATTTGGATTTTTTAGTCTGATTATAAACCAGATCATTTTTCAGTTGAAAATGTCACCATAGATTAATTACAAAAATGAGACTAAAACAGTCATTGATAACTGTTAATGGGGTATTTGGGTTTCCTAAAACTAACTGAGAAATGTCCCAGCAGCGCATGGTAAAGCAAACAAATACAATACTATTGACTCAAGCTGATTTAAACACTGACCTCATCATCATCATCCATTTCCTCCACAGCATTGTAAATTTCCATGATATCTGTGCAGCTGGGATTACTGGGAAAGTAGGAAGAATGTGTAAATTTAGTATGCAAGATAACTGAATCTGAATGACACTGCCTGTTCAAAGAACGAGCGAAACGTACTTTACAAATTTCTGGAGGACATTCGTGATGATCTTTGCAGAGTGGGCAATCTTGCTCCTTGGCTCATTGAAAGTGCGGGCGTTGTGTGCAATATACCTGGCGTCCCAAATTAATGCTGACAGGTGCCTGTGGATCACCAGAGGGAGTAAATAGATTACACAGCATCTTAAACAAAAACATCAATTCAAGGACAGAGCTGACTGTGGAAATGCTTCCATGCGTTGTGTTGGGTGGCAGAAGGGGGGGGGGGGGCTGTGGGACTGACCTGTAGAATCTGTTACGGAGTCTCAGTCTGATGGTGCCCAGGTCAGTAGGATAGGCGATTACAGTGCAGTAGGTGGGATACTGGACTAAGTCCACAGGACCAGAGAAGGGAGCTGCAATCTCTATAGCAAGAACACAGTGGAAGGCGGGTAAGTACAAATTGGAAGATATTTCCTTGTTAAAGGAACCAATCGATGGGCTGTTGTGAGTGAATTGGGACCGGACTTGTGACAGCAGAAGTGTGCGATCGAGACCCTGTCCGTGCATACACACCGACGGTGATGAGCTGGTCAATGCCGCCGACGATGCGCTCACATTCGGCGTCCCTGCTTGTCTGGCCCCACTCCCCGGGCAGAGGCTTGTACATCAGCTCGTTCATCTCCTCTTCCGTCACAGGGATACCACCTCCTTCCATCTCTGGATGCTGGGCTGCATGGCAGGGATACACTTATTCTGTATGCATTAACTCCGTTAGCCTCCCTCTGTGAACGGACATCACTTCTGTGTTTGTGTGTGGATGGCACACAGGTAAGCTAGTAAAAAGAACTCTTAATTACCACCATCTGGAATAGGTTCGACGTCCCAGGGACTCAGTTTCTCCGTTTCTCCGTTGTCCCATCTGGGAAAAAACACAAAGATATATCACATTAAACACATTTTCCTTGCAAGTAAGTACAAAGCATTTTATTTCAACCATGAAAAGTAGTTAAAGAATTAAACAGTGACATACATGACACCGTCATGCCTCTCAGTAAGCATTACAGGGCAGAGAGACTTGTGCTAGAATGACAATATAGAAGCAGTCTGTCCTGGAAACTGGTTGATATTCACAGCCATCATAACTCGTGTGTTTTCCCACCTGACTTTAAAGCACTGGAAGAGGCTGTCCGGGTATTCGGGCTGGTAGGGCTCCTGGCAGACGATGCTCCCAAACCACCAGGCATCGTCGATCACTGAGCGGAACCGGTCACCTGCACAGGACAAGTAAACAAAATGTAAACAGCGTTATAAACTACTTGGGAGCATCTTTCTTCTGTATTAGAAATCAATGAAACTGAATACAAAGACGACTACATGGCCTCAAAGCCGAGACTTTACATCGTAAGCAAAGTGCACCAACTTACTTGGCTGCCAGTTTCTTCGGAGCGCCTCGTCATAACTCTGCCTCAAGACGAGGAAATCTATCACATCTGGCATGTCGTGATACCTGTGGGAGAAATGCAATGTCACTTTATTGTGAAAATACAATAAACCTGAGGTGTGGAATATTTTAACACTTGTCTGTAGCCCTATTTGCAGAGAAATAAGCTGCAGTGGTAATACTATTAAACATATTTGCAGAATCTAATTATCGGAATTGAGCTGATCCTCAAACAAAATGTAGGCGTTCACCAGAATACATTTTAGAATTTAAACCTCCATATTATGTACCTTCCATCTAAATGCCACCTTTGTGTTGATTCACTAATGTGAACAGGAATAGAAAAGATATCCGTCATGCGTTTCTCAGTAGAAGAACTGCTCTGCTTACTTGACAGAAAAAGACTTTTCTGATATTTTGCCCGTGCCGTGGTCAATAAGAGTCAGCTTCAGACAGCAAAGTGTTGGAGGGCAGACCTCGTATTTGATCCCTGTGATCTTGACAAACTCTTGGTCCTAGAACACATTTGAAAAAACAAATGAATTAAAGGGTTCTTCTGTGAATTCTTCAAAGGTCTAACAAGAACATATTTATCATCATCATCTTATTTGCCTTTAACTTACCCGTAGCTCCATTTTCTTCCAGGGCTGTTTGTCTAAGTTTATGGGGTACAGGTCACTTCGACTCACTGCCTCAACGTAGGCCTCGTGTCCCTGCCGGAAATAGATCACCTGACAAAACAAGAGATTTGGAGCTTATGAGGAACAGGATTGTGATCATGGTGTCCTTTTAATCCATTAAAATATATGTAAATCCATACAGCCGCTCTACATTAAAGAGAAAATATGTAACCAACAACATCTAAATAAATGGTTACCCAATCCTCTAAACTTCAAGGGAGGTTATTCTCCTCATAGCTTTCTTTAAGAGATTTACGTACTTCATCGCCCATTTGGGGAACAAAAGGAGACTTCCTGGGAAAGACATCAGTGATCCAGGTTGAGGGTCTGAACTCGTTGGACACTTCTCTGTTGATGGATGGTCTGACCTTTGGACGCTGAAGATGTAAAACGTAGATCAGATCTTATCATACATTCAGCTTTATATTTCCTCAATGCCAGTGGGAGAGTCTGGGCAGTGATCAACAGCGAGATGTTGGGTTGGCTACTGTGTTCAGTAACTCACCCTGGGTGACTTGTTCTTTGCATTCTTGGACTTCCCTTTGCTTTTCTTGCCTGCTTTTTCTTCCTCATCACTCTGCTGCTGCTGCTTCTTCTTCTTCTCCTCATCCTCCTCTTCCTCTGCCTCCTCTTCCTCCTCTTCTTCCTCCTCCTCATTTTCTTCCTCCTCCTCATCCTCCTCCTCAGAGCTGCTGAGTCTGCGCTTTGCTCGTTTCCGTGACGACACAGAGGTGGAGGGTTGCAGGTTGATACCCGCGTCTGCGGTCCAGTCGGAGTACTCGCTGGACATTTGGCTGTATGGTCACAAGCAGATTTTAAGTTACATATAAGAAAACTGGCCAAAAAACACGGTTCAATGATTTGTTTCAACCTGCTTAGGGTACCAGATGGGTGGGGATTGGCACTTAAGACACAAAGGAGTATCACAATATGAAGGAAAAAACGTCTGTCTATAAAACCATTTTTTGTGATTCAGGACCCTTTGATCTGACACTGTAAACAAGTTCAAACTAATTCTAACAGGTTCTAGCAATGAACGTTATACCGTGAGCTGTCACTGTTCCATTCTTCATCATTGGAGGAATCCATTTCACTGCCATCCAACTCGTGGTCCTAAAGAGATTTTTAAAAAAGACCACACAGGCTTGTAAATGACTTTTGTTTTTAGCGAAGCCACAGGAGAGCTGACAAGGGGTTACATCAGTGTGCACCTCTGAACTTGCCGTCTCCTCTCCCTCTTCGCATGACAAGTCGATGAATTCCAGTGCGTCACTGCGGCCGTGTGCTCGCTTCGCAGTGTGAGGCTCGTCCTCTGAATCATCCTGAAGGGACAGACGGGACCAACTCAGAACCAGCGCAAAGATTTGTACAGAAACGGTTAAAATAAAATAGACAATTATTTCAATCTTTGAAAATACATAAATAAGCTCCAATCCTACACAGAGTTGTGATGATATGTTTTTCTACAGAGTATACATTTTTTTCTACAGTTTCTTACAAACTGCAGTGAAGACTGATGATTATTCACAATAGGCCATTTTAATTGACTGAAACCTACCCTGTTGTAGATGATGCGTCTCTTCTTTGCATTATACAGGAGCATTTCCTCGTCTCCTCTGGCCGCTCGAACGTGCTCCTGGATCCTAAAAAACACACGAGGGAAGAAATTCATGTGGAACAGCCGCAAAATGTCAAGTGAAATGTCATTAGGCATGTGAACCACTCTTGATTGACGGGTATGTTTAGGAACCTTTATTTTGGCAGGAGTGGGTGTGTTCACATATTCACATTCACATATTTATGTAATCTAAAATGGAAGAAGAATCTATTTCCACTTTGAAACATAAGACACCACAAGGGTGCAGACATTGCCAGGCACAAGAAAGCCACATCGTCAGCCGTTGATGCTAAAGCTCCGGTACCTGTAGCTGCTGGGTCCCACCTCGGGCACCACCACCCTGCGCCTCCAGGCCTGCAGGTCTCTCTCTGTGGCCATCTGGCTGCGAGGTGCATTCTGGTGCATCTGCCGGACACCCTCCACCTGCCCGCTGCGGCGCAGGCCCACATTAGGGGGAGACTGCACGTCTGCTCGATCGTTCACAGACACTGCAAAGAAGGATCACATACCTAGCATCCAACAGCTCGCTGGATCAACAGAGAGGATCAGGGAAAACACTGGTGGTGTATCGATACCTCTACGTGGCGTGCTCGGCGCTGCGGCTAAGGCGGGGGCCTGAGCCTCAGCCTGCCCTTCAGGTCCTTCTTCAGCCACCGGCGCCAATTCCGTCCCGTGATGGCTCCGGCGGTCTTGTTGCAGCTGGAGATTTCGGATGGCCTCGTCCAAAAGGGTGCTGCGTCGTATTGCAACTTCGTCGTGCTCTGCGGTCTGCTGGCTGATCACCTGCTCCACAACCTCACCGTCACCTGAAGACGCCATCGACAAGGGATACCAAGAGCATGAGTGTAGCAGAGGTTCACCCTGGTCCAACCCTTACTGTGGTTTCTGAAGACATAAAGGACATGGTTCAGATGTTCTTAGATTATGGCTAGCTGCTTACTGGTGGCCACGTATCCCAGCTGAGGAACCAGATGTTGAGCAGCAATGTTCTCCCGCCCTGGGACGAGACGCTGGTACCTGAGAATCAAGTAAAGACTGTTAAGACATGTAAACTGTGGAACAAGTGTCATGTATTTAGTTCGGAGATGTCCGATGGTTGGTTACTAGCTTCCAGACAAACCCACACTTTGAACTGCACAACTCTTCCTAGTGTTGCTTTTTCATAATGGCACAGGGCATTGAGAATGTCCATGGGCCAAACATTGGAACAACACGGGTAACAACTTAAGACGCTGGCGTAGAACTGAGTCTTCATGTCTACCTTGGAGGATGGGGGTTTCCATCCACATCCACCAAGAAAGGCGGGGGCATGAGGTGGGGTGCCTGCTGTGTCTGTTCATCCAGCACAAAGCCGTTGGTGTCCCGGATCAGTGGTCGGTAGTCTGTGTGGAAGAACACCTGGTCTGGAAGCTGTGTGGCGACCAGAAGGAGGAGGAAGCGGAAGGTTTGTCTGTTTCCTTTGCCGTTTTCAGATCCTCAGAAACCCTTTCACGTTCAGTATGTCCAAACTTCAATTACAAAGGCGATCACAATTTCTTAACCTGGAAAAAGCTAGACTGTATTTATCAAGTGAAAACGAGTATCACCAAAAATGTCATTTACAAAAGATTTCCTCTGGCTTCAATTATTTGCGTAAAGATTTAAATAAGATGTATGCTTGCCTTCTCATACGGCTTGGAAGTGCCGAAACCAAAGATGAGCAGATGGCCATGGGAGTCTGTGCAAGCAAAACGATGCCCATCGGGGGTGAATTTGCAGTCGAAAACGGCTCCATGACCTTGGCCCTCAATCTGGATGACAAACACAAAATCACCCCAGGTACAGGAGCAGGTCAGCCAGGAAAAATGTTTGTTGCATGCTTTTTCTTTTTAGATCCTGGTGGGCCTTACTTTTTTCCTTCTTGTTTTTAAACACTTTGTGCAGAGAGAAAAACCAAAATGGAAAATACTATGGTAGCTGGACTTGGTCCAACTGCCCAGAAATAGAAAAACAGGACTGCGGGTCTGAAGTATTGTGTCTGGAGATTTATAAAAAACTGAGACTGTTAAATGAATTAAAACATACACACAAGTTAAACTAGGACACACAAATGCTGAAACCGGTCTGTTTTTCCTCACTGTGTTGCCTATAGCTCTCTGTCATGTTGTGCATCATGGTGGGTTTCTGAAGCAGTATTGCGTGTTGTTTAGCATCTCTGTGCCACGTTACGGTAGTGCTGCTGGACAGCGTACCATGTTGAAGTAGTGCTGTGTGTTTGTCCCTCGCAGCAGATCCCATATGAAGACATTCCCGTCATGGCCGGCAGACAGGATAATCCTGGGGTCAAAGGGGTGCGGCTCCAGGACAAACACCTCAGCCTCATGGCCCTGAAAGCAACGTTCAAGTTAGTCTTTAAACCGTGTCACTCTTTTGAGGTGAACTTATGAGGTCTTTAATTCAGACAACACTGAGCACAATTACTTTAAGGATATGCAGCAGCTGTCCTGTGTAGGAGTTCCACACTTTGAGGAGATGGTTGTTAACAGCCGTGATGACTGTATGATCATGGCGATCCCAAGCTACCATGGTGACTTTGGGTTTAAAGTAGCTCTCCTCTTCAGTCAATGGTTCAACGCTGAGGGGGAAAAGAAACAATCATCCAATTAGATATTACACACAACACATAAAGCAACTCTCACAGCATAGTAGTTGAGATACAGATGATTAGATTCTGAAAACATCCCTCGGGTGTTGTATTTATCTGGTTTTCCTTAGAAATGAATCTTCATTTTCTGTTGCAACATGCCTGTTGCTACTTGTTCGTTTTACAAAATGATGTACTTTCTTGTTCACAAAAGCTCCATCTCTAACATTGCACAATGTCTCTCCTCCCTCTCCCGCTCTCTCCACGTGTTTGATCTGCATGTTGTCATCAAGGAGTTTCCAGTCTCTCACCATGACTTGACTTTCTTTTTTATCTTAGTTAATCTGCACATCCCGGATAAAGAATCCCTCCTCAGTTGCTTGTCCTGAAGTTTCTTTTTTTTCATACTCCGTTAACTAATACTACCCAAAAGGTGAATACCTTTTCTTTTTTTTTTAAAACACCCTAAAAATGAATTCCTTAGCTTACATTTGCACCTGGTTTACTTGTTCTTGCATATCTGGATGCTTCTAAAGTGCACATCATTGTCTCACTACTTCTTCTCAAAAGAGCCAAAAGCTGAGGACACACGAGAAGAAATCTACCCTAGGAATCCCCGTTGGTGTACGACAGCGACGTGCTCCTTACCCTGGAAGAGTGGCAGACATGTTGAGTAGGATGCACCTCCACTGCTGACGCAGGTGGAGCTTCCAGATCCGTGCTGTTCCATCTCGGCTTCCGCTCACAAACCTGGAAAGGGACACCAGCAGAGCCCAAACCATCACTTTATACACTGTTGTACACTGAATATGATTCGGTAGGTCTACTGTGCAACAACTAAAGAATCCATGGTGAGTTAAAGTACAATGATTCTACCGTACCTTTCACCTGAGTGGCAGAATTGGATGCTATCGACTTTGTCCTGAACAGAGAGCAGAGATTTGAGGAGTGATCGTCAGTAGTAGTTGTTTAATGTAACAGTTGATTGTTTACCAAGTTAAACCACATAATGCAGCAGAAGGTGCACATGCTAAATGCAGCATGCAGAGCAGTGAGAGTTTGGCTACAGGGGGTTCTCACAGTGTGCTCATGGAGCTCCGATATCTTTTCTGGACTTCCGCCTCCCAAGTAATATATTCGGATGACGTCATCAGTACTTCCTGTTGCTAAGAACATCCCACCTGGAAAAAAAGTCAAATATATAGTAAATATATGCTAAAAAGTTGATAATTCTTTGAACTGTATGACAGGAAGCAGCATGGATACAGGTTAATCAGATACAACAGTACAAACATTCCACTCCCTGACCTGAACTGAACGAGGAGCACACAGTCTGAACTCCTGGTCTCGGCCGCTCTGTGAATTTGTGAGGCCGATCACTTGACAGATAGAAAAGAAGAAGAAGAAATGATTTTACTCAGAACAGGACATGTTACTTTACGTTACTGGCAGGAAAAGTGCATTTATTGAAAAGTAACATCCCCAGTAAAATGAAATATTTAGACCATTAAAGGGGTTAAAAGAGTAGTCTTGAGCAGTTGCACGTATAATTTGCCCCTTCAACTGCACCCAGCGGTTTAATTACTTTAAATGCTAGCACCAGTCCTCACCTTGATATCTATGAAAAGAAAAGTTTAAGCTTCAACCAATCTGACCGGCATTTCCACTTCAGGCTGGCTGATGGGTACAGTGCTGGTGCCACATTCCTTTGCCAGGTGAGACTTAACACGCTATGAGGGAAATTGTTTTATACTTTTTATCTTGCGCGCTATTCAACTAGATGCTTGAAAGTCAAAGTAAAGCATGCCCTTTAATTGCAGTTATTTTACCAATATAGTAGCCAGTGTTGGGACAACAGAAAATACAGTCCACCCAGTTTGACTGGTCTCCCTTTGTTTGCTGGAGACCCACTGATGATTTCCATGAGAAGAACTGCCATATCCAACTAGCGTTCTCCGGCATACAGTTACCACGCCAAACTGTTTGCTCAGCAATGTCAATGTTTGCTTTAATTCCATAATACACCACTCTCCATCTTTGCCATTTTGAAAGAGCCAAACAATTAAAATAAAATGAAACCGATCACATGGAAGTCATTCATCCGTTTTGATGTGTATGTTTACCAATGTTTTTATTTTCTTAATAATTACTTCAACTGAATATTTGCCAATGTCACCATTTCAAGCCCATTGAAAGCAGCACTCACCTGAAGTTGATGTTGTTGACGTCCCACTGCCAGAAGCAGACCATGGCATCGGTTCCGGTGGACAGCAGGAAGCGTTTTGAGCCCTTGGCAAACGGTGAGAACTGAGAAAACAATGACAAAGTTTGACAAACTCAGTTACTCAGATGATATCAAAATCAAGACATTGATTCTACATGGAAGGTTAAATATTAACACCTGGCCAAACCGGACAACCAGACCAGAGCACAGACAACAATGGTTAACAGGAAGTATGTTTCCAGCCACGCGGCATCAGAGCTTATTCAAGTAAGAACTTTACACGTGTCTGAGGGAATCTGCCAGAGCGATGAAGAGAAGATTGAATACAAAAGGCTGTTTGTCCTGCTGCTTCTACCGACTCCTCCTCCTCTTCTTCTTCTTCTTCTTGTTTTGTTTTCTTTTAGGCAAGAATATTCATAATAATAAAGTATGGTCTATTAAATAAATTCTTTTTAAACATAATTACTAATTTCATCATATCTGGAAGCAGAAAGCGAGGAGTTAGACGGAATTATCTTTTAAAGATATTTGCACAGCAGTAACTGATGTCTATGGTCCCCGATTCACATTTACTTTGGTTTCTTTCTTTTTTTTTAAACAAACATTTGAACATAGCATACCTAAAAAGTGAGTATTATGTGTAGCATGTTGAAGAGTACAATGAAAGTATCTCACAATTATGGAATTATGAGAGCTGGTGTTCCAATCTCATTCAAATGATGATAAAAAGCACTTTATATAGCGAAAAAGAACCTTCTCTAATTTGCCTCTTTATCCATTGGACAGCCCCATTCCTACAATGGCAGGATATATCGTGAAGACAGAGATCCAGTTACCTGTAGGGAGGTAATGGATCCACTGTGCCCCTGCAGCACAGCCACAGGCGCACAGGTACGAAGGCACCACACACGGATGGTCTTGTCACAGCTTCCTGCAGCAATTAGCGTGTTCTCATAGTTAACCGCCAAGTCTGTGATCTCTGCAGAGTGCCCTCGCAACGTCGAATGAAGCCTTCCATCAAACGAGGACCAAATCTTCACCAAACAGTCATCTGAGCCCTGACAAAGAAAAAAACAACAACTTCTACTTCAACATTCTGCTTGAGGATGGAACCAAATACATTAAAAGATGATGACCAGCACTTTAGGACCCTCCCAGGACATAAGGAACTTAGCTCTGATCTCAACAACATCAAGTACCTCCAGCAACAAACAGGTGAATGTCAAATTCAGAGTTTGGCCCTTGGTGCTCATCAGTGTTTCCAAAGAGCAAAGGCTATATTAGAGTCACTGTTATGACTGCACGTTAAGAAGCGTAAGAATCTTACTGTAAAGATCCTGAGGCCGGTGCGATCAAATGCGATGCAATACACTGCAGACAGATGCCCCAGGATCCGCCTATGCAGCCGCATGCGCTCATAGTTGCTGACGGGATTGACGGAGCTGAAGCGCTGCACTCCCGTCAGCTCTCTCCCTCGATGGACCATCACTGTTGATGAAAAACACGCAGATCATGAGAAAACAGTGAGGAAATGACAGCGCTGTAACAAGACTTGGACCAACACAAATACATGGGATGGATTTAATGTGATCAGAAGTGGATTGTCACAAGATGAAATACATATATGGAAAATAAGAAGTAATCATAAGAAGTTATTCTGTGGTTTAGCCAAGCTTGTAAATGCCTCGTCCTCCTGGAAACCTTCATCGGTAAAGAGCTACAGGTCGCTCGGGATACATTCATTGGATTTAAACATCAACTGCATGAAACAAAACTGCCATTCTCATCTCTAAATAAGAACAGTATTGCTGCAGTCTGATACATCTGGTTTATATATGTTGCTACGGGAAACAACAAAATATCAGAGAAGCAAGCACACCAACTGGAAGGCTCTCTTCTGCTATAAGTTCTCACTGCCTTTTTGTTTCTGTCCTCCAAACAGTGGCTCCATAAACAATGGATTAACTTCAACAGCACGTCTCAAAAACACAAAAAGGCCAAGAAAGGTTTAAAACTAGAAAACATTGATGCAAACAGGAGAAACTAGAATCTTTGCAGCACTGAGTAGTAGATAACTGTCACAGCAAATTGGAAGTAATAAAGAACCTAAAGAGTCGAGCATCAAAAGCAGACTAACCATTCCGTGTAAATCCCTAAATGAAATGATGATTTATGATGAATGTAATTGTGATGTTAATAACAACTAGCAATTCAAGGGAACAGACTGGATCGAAGCGACCAATCTGGTTCATTCATGGCAGCGCACCAAACGGTTATCTGACAATAGCTCATCAGAAGGCTTCTGCTAAAAATGTAACGATCAGGTTAAAGAGGAACAATAAGAGATGTACAGTGTTACAGCGTGTTTGACCACAGTCCTTTAGGACTAATTCTTCAAACTTCTCAACAAGCTCCTGGCTTATCAGCACACATAACATCCAGCTTTAGTGAAGAGATATCCAGCACGTCTAATGAATTCCTTGTTCAAATACATCCCACGGGAATATTGGGTGAGGCCGGACGCACCTAGGTGTGGAGGTTTCTTGCAGTTGAAAGGCCTCTCGGGTGGTCTGCCCCGGTGAAGGGCTGCATATGATGAACCATTGAACCGCACTCTGTCGCAGTCTGAGACACAAATAATTCATCAGTATACGAGAAATGGAGAATAATAAAAGAAAACGTGTCTAATTATACATCATCCAGAGCTACTTAAGTTGAAGATAGGGTACCTTTTGCAGTCCGAAGCGTCGACTGCTTCCCGGACCCCAGGAGAGAGTGCACACCTGGGACACATGATGGCACCTCTTTGTCAAGAATTGGTCCAATCTGCTTACATATCCGTAGCAAATGGTCCGGTGCAATATGTCTGTTGGCTGCAACCTGACGGGTCCGAAATAACAACACAGAGTGGAGACAATTTTTGAATAAACAAAATTTTTAATTATCAGGTCACTAAAATGCCAAACAACCATCTAAAATGAAGGCATTTGCAAGGAAGTAATTTGAAGACTAGTTTGTAATGAGATATTCTGTATTGATTATTTTATCTTTAAAAAATTGTAATATTATATATATAATATATTAATATTACCGGCACTGTAGAATGCCTTTACAGTTTTGTCAGAATAAATGTTGACAGGGCAGTTGGGTGGTTTTCATGTGCTGCTCAACTGATATTGCGAGAGGGGCGGGGTCTGTTTTTAACGGACCAATCACGGCGCAGGTCACAAGCTAACTAACGCAGAGACAGAGCTCCTCGCTCTCTGATTGGCCAGCGCAGCCTGTCTCAACGTAGCGAGAAGCCGAACTACCCACCCTTTCTGCAGTACAGTCGGGAGGCTAAATAATATTAAACCCTCTATCCAAATACAGTTTTCTGAACGACCGCACAGTTTACCCCCCCCCCCCCCCCCGACGAATCGAGTCGGGGGGTGGAAACACTTTGGAGCACGGCAACCGTCCCGACTGAAGATAATCCAACGGTAGTCCAGCCGGAAAAAGAACAAAGACCGTAAACAAGAACAGAGCATGGACCGAGTCCCCCCCCCCCTCCCTGTCACGAGACAAAAACAACCGCCGACAATGAGCTTAATAACAGATATGAAGTTTAATCTCACCAAGTCTTCATATGTTCTCGGGTGCTCGTTTCCCAGCCAGTCCAATCTCCCCGGTAAGAGCTGTCGAAAACAACAGTTTGGTAAAGCGGAGTGACCCCCCCCAGAAAGCAGCAGCATGTACACAGTTAGCCGATATTAAAGAAAGCCGGGGAGGAGGAGGAGAGGGGGGGTGTCAAAGGAGGGAGACGTCCAGAAGTATTAAAAGAAAGTGGACAAGTTCCGTTTGACTCGTTGTCAAAAGCAACGGAAGCCCGCTAACGTTAGCCGCCGAGAAGCAGGCGGGGGGGAATACACACCTGATAGTCCTCTAGTTCGCTCGCCAAGACCTGGAATTAAAAAGAGGCGAATTCAGACGAGGTTGCATCAATTAAAATCTAAACTAGCTCGGTCAACTTGTTCGAAACGCACTGTGCTTTCGGGTCTACAAAGCCAACCAGCTCACCTCAGCCGCTCTCCGGCACGGACCCGTCGTTAGGAAACGAGATATCAAGTAATAGAGCTCTGAAAGGCAACAGCGGAGACGTTAACCGCGAGCAGGAGAAAAGCAGCCAGGATGTCAATTAGCAGCGGCGTTATCGTCGCAAATCAAGCTATCAATTGGGTTCACTTCTGCGGCTTACCCGACTCAAGGAGCGAAATGTTCCGATTTTTGGCCATTGAATCGGCCGTGATTTTGGCGAGGTGAGAGCAGTTGTTGTTTTTTCAGGATAACTTTGTGACTACAGAGGATAGGATATATTTATTTAATTTCGGCTACACAGCTCTGACCCCCCTCCACGGTTGCTCCCGCTTTCTATTCGGCCCGTTCGCAGTCGCCATTGGAAGGATGAGGCCCGAGCGATACGACTTACTTCCGCCACAGCGGAGTCACACAGGAAAAAGGGGGTGGGGAGGAGCAACAAAAGGCGAACGTGTACGTTAGCCTCGCGGCTAGCGGCGTTAGCATCCACTCACGGAAGCCGAGCCATTGACACGATTTACAAATTCACGCGTAGAAAAAAAAAAAGGAAATTAATTTGAAAAATATACGTGTGTTTGCGTGTGTATTTTTATCGGAAGCGGAGAAAACAAACGGCCGCCCCCTTTTCTTTCTGACCGCGGTCGTGAGTTCTTCACATGACGTCATACGTAATGGTGGCCAATTTGCTGTACCAAATTATGATTTAAAAAATTGTTTGTAAAAACAGTCCTCAATAGGAGGAAGGCATAATCATATAGTCGGTGAATTAATTGAATAGTACTACCAATAGGTGAGTTTTATGTACTCAATTTAGTTAAAGAAACCATTTATTTTACTACTGTACTGTACTGTAATTTCACCCTACTTTAATTAATTGATTGCTTTTATGGGAGTCACTGTCTTGAGGAGTGCAAGGTCAGAGGGAAAAGCAGAAAGTGCCAACCAGGCAGACACAGGTCTGATAAGGTTGCGAGTTAGAACGCTTTGTTTGTTATGTTTACATTAATGTTAGGTGACCACACATTGTATGTGATTGGATCTTTATTGCAGCTGGAGAAGCTGCTCCTCCTCTACGCCAGTTTAGAGCCATTAGAAATATTTTCTTTTATATCTAACAAGAAATATAAAACATAATGTTCTTCCTGATGTTAGTCAGTTGTTCTTCCGGCCTGCAGCAACCCTAACTTTACGAAATATAATATTTAAGTGATGTGACTTCACGTCAATGGATCAACAATCATAATTCAGTAATACATGTTTCTGCAAACGGCCGCCTTATTCTTTTTAACAACTTAATATATCCCAAATCAGACATATAATCTTCTCTATTTCAGAAATAGCATGTCGATACGATTTATGACATCAATATTTCTCAAATGTGTGTCATGTGAAGGGAATATGTGATCACTAGTTGAAAACCAATTCAAAGGTTCACTCGTATTGAATTTGCCAATCCTCAGAATTACTTTTCCCTCCCAACAAACAAAAAGTTTCTCCATAAAAATATAATTGGTGTTCTGTAATTGTTTTTCATGTATTCCCTTTTTTTAATTACTATATTTATTTCACACAGACAGACCTGTACCATGGTAATTGTTATGATATATAATTGGGAAACTGCCCCGAAAGCCTAAAAGTTCAACGTTTACTGTATGTTATTTACATGGTGTATACTCCAAAAAATTTGAAATGTATTTTACTTTCACAAACACCCGGTAGTATTTTCATCAAAGAGCCGCATTTTTTGGTGAATCCCCATTCCAACCCTGTGGAGTGTTATGCAACATACCAAAATTCTTCAATAATAATGCTGACGTTGGTTAAAAACGTAAACAAATGACTAGAGTAAACATTTAGAATTGTGTATTTTATCTGACATAACTGCAATAGAATATACATCAAATAACTAGACACTAAATAAAGTAGTAATTTCATTTCTAACAATGAAGTTAATCACATTATTATCTATATATTACTGATACACAGAACTTCAGTAGTCCTCTTATAAAATAGAATCGAAAATGGATCATTTAGCATCACACACCTTTTTGGCCAAACACGTATATCGTTAAGAGAGAATTAACGTAACATTAATGCTAAACACATTTCAGAGGAATTCCCACTTTTAATTAGCATTTTATATTCATAACAAAAACATTTTTTCTTTTTTTGTTGCTTTTTTTAAAAATTGAGGAAACTGTACATTGGAAAAGAAATCCCAAAGCCGCGATGTGTATATTGACAAATATGCGCGTTACATTTTGTAGACTGAGGTGAAGATACAGTAATAAAAAAAAAGCAAACGATAAAATGAGTGATAAGCTCTGCAATGCATTTTGTTTTGAGCACAGACAGTATGGATTAGTCTAATCGTTCTCAAATGTACCATCACTGACAGCATATAAAAACAAAAACATGTCCAGTACTAATGAACGTGACTAAAGTGAAAATTGTGAACAAGACTCTGCTTTGATCACAGCTCGAACTTTCAATCAGCCTATTTCCTATCAAACACATAGTATTACAATGTATTAAATTCCAAACAGTACAGGCTACAAAAATCCCTCAAGACACCTGGGGGATGTTTCAGGCGAACTCCCCCGAAGTTGAACATTTAATTAATTCCTGATAGAGGCACAACTTCATGTCATGCAGAAAAACTACAACCTAAAAAAGGCTAGATAAAATCAGAGAAACACGAGAAAAATAACCCAACATCATGACTGAGAAGCCGTGAAACTGAATGGAATTTGTGGTCTTAAAAAAAAAAAAAAAAAAAAGCATTTCTGCAATCAGATGCCTAAAAACATAAGTCTTATGAAAATAGTAGATAAAAATATTCTCTGCATTGTACAAGAAACGAGGTACAGGGAGCCCTGGCAAGCGAGTCTTGGGGTGTCACCGCTACTCTGCATCTTTATCTTCTTCTTCCTCCTCCTCGTCGTCCTCCTCATCATCAGCCTTGTCCTCGGCATCGTCTACTGCTGCAGCCTTCTGAAGGATGGAGAAAACATACAACATTGTCATTTCGCTGCCCGTTGAATATTGTTGCAGCGCAAACTTGGCGAGCGCAGAGAAGAAAAAAAGCTTACAATACCTCCTCAGCTTTTCCCTCTCCGTTCTCTGCAGGTGCGTCTTCCTTCTCAACCTCGGGCTCTTCTTTCTTCTCCACCTCGGGCTTTGCCTTTGCTGGTGCTTTGGCTGCTTTTTTGTTCTTAGGAGGTGCCTACCATGTCAAGCACAAAGGGAGCGGTGTAAAACACTGTCAAATGCTCGCAACAGGGATATAAACAGACATTAAAATCAAACAGTGCTCTGGCTTCACTTGGTTTACCTTTTTCTTTTCTGGCAAAGGTTCTGGCTGTGACTTCTGTAACTGAAATACACAAGACAATTATTAGCATGTTACACAAACAAAATAATGATCGGATGAATAAAATATGCACTAATTTCATCAAAACGCCTTTGCAGAACTTACCCCTGACAACCGTGTAGATTTTCTCTGTGGCTGCTGAAGAACAAACACAATAGTTTAGTTGTTTGAGAGTCCCAGATTCAGAATTGCACAAATGTTTAATTAAACTAGCATTTGTAACAAAGCTTTGAAACACATGAGCTAGATTATGAAGTTGTACTTTTAAAAAATACAAATGCTATTTGTAAATTGGCCATAACTGTGTAAACTGAGTCATGTTTCCATTCATTACTGGCCCTCTACAGTGAATGGTTAGCGTGACGCTACATAGCTTATACGGTCATCGTGGGTGCAAAGGTGAATTATTACTATGAGGGATTTGGTAGCAAAATACCACAGACCCAACATGATAGGTTTGACCCAAGAGAATCTGTGAGGGCATCACACAAACCAGAGCAATTTTCACTTTAGCATGTGGGCACCCTAAGGGTTAAGAGATAAGAAATCTATTTGGGGGGGATGCGATAAACAGCGCCCTCTAGTGTACGTGAGCCCAACAGACTATCCGGGTTTGGAAGACAAACTGTACACTTTAACGACGTTGTCGTCCTTTGCATCCCAGTACCGCCGCCTGCACGGTTTGAACTGGGCCGCATGAAGTAACATCTAAAAAAAAAAAAAAAAAAGCAGCCCGTATCCAACAAAGACTTGCGCTTCGTCGCCACAGAACTCGGGACATAATGTCCATTTGGGTGCAGGTTGGGGATGTCAGCGTCAGCTTTGAGGCAGCCGGAGGAGCCGGATACTAACCTCTGAGGCGACGTCGGAGCTGGACTGGAAGAAAGAGAGAGACAAGGAGAAATAAATTAAAAGGGAAAAAAAAACACGAACAGCCATTGACGAGGGCGATAATGTGGGCGTGTAGCGCGTGGGGGGATGGGCACCTCTCCCTCCCTCGAGTCACAAAGACATTATGCAACCTTTAAGTGGGGAGGGGAGCAATAACACGATATTTTATCTACTCCTGGTTTATTCCCGCCACGCATAGCACCATTCCCGAGGTGGACATTTTTGTTGAGGAAGAATATGTGTAGCGGGGGGCGGGGGGCGCTGCTGGATAAGGTGAAAGCTGGGAGAGACCAGTCCTCTCTCCGCGCTTCCACATCAATGGCTCCGCTTCCATGATGCCAACGCGACTGAGCCGTTCATAACAATGTTATTTTTTTTTTTTTAAAGGCACGACGATGCGGTCTTGTTAGAAGCTAATAGATATTTGGCTTTCTTTTCTAAGACAATTCAGCAGTCATGACGCGCAGAAATGAGAAAGACGCCTCGAAGCAGCAGCTTTGCAGTCCGCGATCAAGGACTAAAAATATTAGAAATAGGACAAAGCAACGGGGAGAGGACACGTCGACTGAACGGAGGGTAAATAACCACGTTCAAGCAAATAACCCACGACTAGTTTAATCCAGAGGCAAATCTTGTCCTTTTTAATAGCAACCTGTTCATCGACGGTGGTTACACCCCTTTGTCTGATGTCAGCACACGGCGAAGACTAATAATTATAAACCAAACCACCGCCATATTTAAGGTTTTAACAAATCTGCCGCCAATTAGTCGAAATGGAGCATATACGCATTTTTATGCCCCCCTCCCTCCCGATGGGAACGCGCGTTGTGCTGCACCAAGTAAAAAGGCGCCACTTCCCTGTATCAACAGGGTGGACACGACGGACCTCGTGCACGCACATGGACACATCGTAGCGAGCACGTATAACGCTACAATGAAGCGCATGCACCGCGACGAATTTATGTCTTCAAATGTGCTAAAATAGCAAATGCATTAAAAATATGGCATGTAAAAAGCATCTCACATAGCGTACACGGTCTCAAACTTACTTTAGTTTTCCTTCCCATTGTTGCGGAGGTTGTAGGACTGATGCGTGTGAAGATAACGACGCAGCCTTTCACTGTTTTGGGGAAAGCTTTTTTTTTTTTTTTTAAAGCGACGTGGGTCAGCTGTACACCTCAGCCTTCACCTTCAGAGTCGTCTGTAACTTACCATTAGCCTTCCGAGCTGTACTAGAACCACCTCGAACCGGATTGGATCAGGCTCTCTGTATATTTTATCCCTTATCCTACCAACCCCGCAGGGAGAGACTGTCCCCCGCCCCTCGCTCCCGGTGATTGGCTTCGCGGCCGAGGCAACGCGATTTTGAACCACAACATGTTACCTGTGTGGGCAGGGTGGCGTGCCAATCAGTCGGACCGGGCCTGCGCTCACTTTTTAATCGCCCCGTGCCCAGGGTGCGTGCAAGGAAGAAGGCAGAAAAAAACAACAACAACCACGTACATGTTTGGGGCATTAGATGCGAGATGCACAGGCGCGAACAAAGAAATATCCAAACAAAGCTCCTTGTGTGTGGGTCGTCTTCTTGGTTTTGTTTTGAATACCCAATGCACACGGGCGTCACGTATACATTCTATATGGGAGGATGAATCCCACAGAAAAGGATCTCACTGCGACGCATGTCTTAATAATCAACACGGACGGTGCACACGTGGGACAATTGTACATTACAATCTTATGTTGGAGGTTTTACGGGCGTTGTAATACGCAAACGTTAAAACAAATGTGGCCACTGCCGTCGTAGGAACGACGTTGCTCGTAATTAAACCGCCATTACCAGAATAACCAGAACGGCCTAATTACTTATGCAACTTTCACTGTAACGTCGCCCTGCTGCTGCAAGCTCCACCGCTGCTGAGCGGAGAAACAAACATGGCGGCCGGCTATGCGTGGCTCCTTGTGCTGGGGTCGGTTTTTTTGTGCAATCTCATGAAAATCCTCCTGCCGACCATATCCTCGTTCGTGAGTAGGACCCTCGAGCACATCACGCGTGTGCCTTAAAGGCACGCGCTGAAAGCGATAACCCGTGTCGTGGAGCGCGGCCCGACTCGCGTCTCGTTAGCTTCGTCTCACAGTCGGCAGGCTGTTGTTGACGAGCGTTAGCTTAGCTTGTAGCTCGTGGCTAGCTACCGGTGTAGCTAACCGTTAGCTTTAAACAGCCTAGCTACAGCCAAGTGGGTTGGGTTAACCGGGATCCTGCTTTAACGGCGAACATGTTGTGCCACATAATTGTTCAGAAGTCAAAGGGGGGGTGTCGTAACGTTGGGAAACTGTGGCGTTACCTGCTAAAGAACATATCCTAAATAAATGGAAATCTAAATGGCGGTCGATATAATAACCACCTTTAATTTTCCAGGAGGACCATTGAGCTCCCCATAAATGAATCAACAGTTTTGTTTACTCAGTAATAGTCTCTCTGCTTCTTTCCAGCTCTCGAAGATGGTGCAGAAAGATGCTGAGCAGGAGAGTGAGATGAGGACCGAAGTCCAGGAGATGAAGAAGGAGCAGGCCTCGATCAGCATGATGGATGAGTTTGCTAGATATGCCAGACTCGAGCGCAAAATCAACAAGATGACAGACAAGCTGAAAACACATGGTGAGACACAAAAGTAAAACATTCCAAACATAATATCTACGTACAGCAACAATGTCTCAACAGTTATGGAACAACTTCAACACAAAAGTGTTAATTGCAGGAGCATTTGTTTTGTATCTGTGTTCTTGTTATTCAGTCCAGCCCATAAAGGTTCACAGATCAACCAAAAACCACCATCCGTTACACTGAAGTGGTTACTGGGTTAGAATGAAACACGGGGAACAGTGGGAACAGCTGAGCAAAGACTGGTAGTGATTGGAAGTGATTTTATTTCTCTTGAGGTCAACCTGTAAAAAAAAAAAAAAAGTATATTCAACCTGGTTAGCTGCATCAAAACTGGTTAATCATAAAAAAAATGTTTGTACCTTCTACAAGCGTGTGACTATTTTCTCTCCAGCCCTTGAGTTTGCCCTTCCGCTCTCGTGGAGTTTGGACTCTAAAAGCGCTGTATTTTCTGACCTTTTGCAGTGAAATCGAGAACAGCGCAACAAGCCAAGATGAAATGGGTGGTGAACATCGTCTTTTATATACTGCAGGTAGGTGGGAACCGTGAGAAGCACAAATGCAATTGATTATAGATTCTCATTTCTTAACTGTGAGGGACACACAGCTACTCAAGTACCAAATACGTAAGTACGGACCATCTGTTTGACACACAGCCACGTTATTTGCAAGTAATTCTGACCCATTTACGAGGGGAATATGAAGCTAATAAATAACTTTAGCTAATTATATTGACATTTATTTTATTTGCCAGGCGGCTCTGATGATCTCCTTGATATGGAAGTATTACTCTGATCCTGTGACAGTGGTCCCTAGTAAATGGATTGCCCCAGTGGAGCGCCTGGTGGCCTTCCCAACAGGAGTTGCAGGTAATTGTGTTGTTTCTTTATTTTTGATAGAATAAAAGAAAACCATCCAAAACCCTTCTATAATTATTAACTATAGACGTTTTAATTGGTAGTTTGTTGTAATGATTGAGAAGATGCTGATGTGTGTGCCTAGGTTGCTTTACTCTGGTGATGGATTGAGCTGTTCCTTCCCTTCAGGTGGAGTGGGAATCACATGCTGGCTGGTGGTTTGTAACAAAGTGGTTTCGCTGGGTCTCCATGCTGTCAGCTAGAGGGTCCAACACTCCGGTTCTCTTAACGTGTCGCTAAAAATTCAGTTGATGAAAGCCTTTATTTGTGTTAATTTATTTTCTGCCACGTCAGGCCACTGTGTAATTGTCTGACTCATATTGCAACTTGTTTTTTGGGGCTTTGAGAATTTTTATGTTTTTGAAAATGTTTTGACAGAATTGGACCAAAAGAGTGGTTTTGAAATGTTGAGATTCCTTTTTAAGAAAATAAAACATCAAGAAAAGATTGTAATGTTATTATTATTTCAATTGAAAAAGACTAAAACAATGCATTTGGTCAAACAATAATTCATTCAGAGGAATACTTTATACTTAAATACCACAACATCTTTTGCCACTACAGACAAAATCTCCTTATTCCTGTTTCTTCTTTATGTGGCAGCAAGTGTTTCTGACATTCGAGAGCTCCCCTCTGATGTCTAGACACTAAATCATTGTCTTTACTCGGCTCTACTCTCTCTCTCTGCCTGCTTCACCTCTCCTGGATCTCCTTCTCCCCAGCTGGAGGACAAAGTTCACAAATCCCAATGCTGGTGGTCTCCACCTTGATTGGGCTCCTGGTGGTTGGAGAAGGACCTTAAGTCCACTCTGCTGTGGACGGGTATTCCGTTGTGCAGGTTCTCAATTGATTGTGGGAAGATGTGTCTGATTTTTGAGAGCTTGTATTCTTTTCTCTCGGGTTCAGTCAAATTCAGAGACCGGTTTGATATCGGGAACGTCTGGCTCTCGTGTCCCTCTGTTTTCTGCTCTCCTTCCAACACCCTAACCTCTTTGGCTTTGGCACACTCTTCCTCCGTTTGATGTCCTGAGCTCCCTTCCAAACAATTACTCTGATCACTGGTGTCTGAAAACATTTTAAAAATAAAAATAAAAATACACAACTTGCATGAAACACACCTGTTTAGTTCCATTAAAAAGACGCCATAGTAAGTGTCCTCTTCATGGTGTGCGTTGTCTTTCCTGAGAAAGTTGTTGGTGGATTAATACCACTATGGTGCTATGAATAAGTGCTCACCTGCACATGTCTCAGTTTCCCTTGGGTGATCCACTTCTAATGAAACTTTTTCAGCAACCTCTTTCTCTGGATTTCCTATAACCAACGACACCTGCACTGCATTGTGACAACGCTGAAATGATATAAAGGATTTATTGGTGAGAGCAAAATCTTAAAAATCTTGGATAATAAAACAAATGCATAAATGACTAAAAATATGAATTTCAATACCCTCCAGAAATATAGATTGATAATTGATTAATTTGAATGTATTTGCCTCAATACCTCATTTGTGTCTAATAGAACTTGGAAAGTGAGGCTAGGAGGTTTGATGAGTTTGCACATTTCATGTTTAAGTCCTTTCCAAATTAAACGACCCATGTGAGCCCCCCACAAATGAGACGACAAGAGCACTATATCAAAGCAGGATTGAGCCCATTAAAGCTGGGGGTGCAAGTGTACAGCAAAATAAATACATCCATATTTAATAAAGTATGATTAAAATGTTGATGCAAATATCAGAAATTACTCATAAAATAAAATAGTTTTAGTGGGCAGCCCACACAGTACTTAAATGCTACCTGGTTCCCAGACCTCCCCAGCTCCTCCAGCCTCTCCTCCGTCTCCGTATATTCTAAGATCGGAAAACTCCCGACCGCCGTGGGGAAGAAGACCAATCCATCTGTTTGAACCATCTTGCTTTTTCTTTCTGTATATCCGAAAAAAAATCTTTGATGAAACTGAGACACAACAAATGCAATATGACCAAACTGAAAGTAGGTTGTTATGTTTATTTACCTTTTTTGGAAGGTCTTTTTCGGAACCTGTGGGAGTAGATGTTGTGTGTTTCCAGTACTCGCTCTCTATCCTGTAAAGGGCAAACAAAATATACTTGATATATTGAATCTACGTCTAGAAAATTCAATTCACCATATTTGGATTTTCAGTGTGATTGTAGACCACCAAGTTGAGAAAACACCATCAAACAAAAGCAACGAGCCCTCGGGTGGCGTTCACTAATCCAAAAACGAATGGAAAACTCAAACGTAGTCTGATGTTAAGTAGAATAAAGCAAACATTGTCATTATGGGATGCAATCCCCTGCATAACTGCTACCACCACGCTGAAGGGCCTGCAGAATAAACAATACTGTATGTTAACAAGGATTAGGGTATGTTTAGTCCTGTAAAGAATATCGCCTGGGAAACAGGTCTGTGGGACTTACTTGGATTCCCTTGTTTAACTGACTTATTTGCCTTTGCAGATGGAAGGATGTGTTTCTCGCCTCGCTGATCTTTCTTTGTTCAGTAGCTATTTGTCGACTGAACGAGGCTCGGCACAACTCAAGATTCTTCTCCAAGTCCTAAGATAGTGCGTATAAGAAGAAAAGCGAATGAACACGCGCAGTTTATTTGTGTTGACATCCACACATTTCTAAGTGATGCTATGAGATCTGCACTCTCACCTGACTACCCCAGAGATATTTAACTTAGACCAGTATCCTATTTAACTCAAACCAGTATCACCCACCACTACCCCACCCTCCGGCTCCTCCATACCAGTATCCGCTTGTCCTTGTCCTCCAGCACTGCAGAGGCCCAGGTTAGCCGGATGGTGAGTTCCTCCCTCTCCAGCAGGCTGTGGTCCTGACTGAGCTGCTGCAAGTGTTGGAGACCGGTCTGTGTGCGCTGCAACTGGTCTTCTGTACTTTGTAGCCGCCTTGCAAGATTGTCACGACAGGCGCGGACCTCGCGGAGCAACCCCTGCAGGCCGCGGGCCTCGTTGCTGTGGTTTGTGAGGATCTGGGAATAGGAATGGCGTCAAGAGGAATGATTGAAAAAATGCTGTGGTGCTAAAAAAAAAAACATTCACAGAGGAACTTTTAATTGAATCTCAAATGGGAGCAGATGTAGGGGAAATGTTTCACGCAGATGAAGCAATTCCCACCACAAGCCATTTTTATGGCCAATGATTCAGATGTGAGCGGTGATACCAAAAGGACCAAACCAACCAACCTGGGAGAAGCTGCTCTTGGACTCTTGGAAGTGCTCCAGCGCCACCGTGTGGTGATGCTGGAGCCTCTTCAGCAGCTTGTTCTCCGTCCTGGCTTCGCTCAGCCTCCGCTTCAGATCCCGCACCTGGTTATTGAGGTCACCGATGCAGTTCAAGTCGGCGGACAGGATGCCCGGCTTTGACACCTGCTGGCGCTTAATTGGAGGCAACTTCATAACATTGCAGTTTGCAGCGTGGTTTGTCTTTTGCTTGTTGGGCCCTTGTGCTTTTTTACCTAAAGAAGAGAAAAGCACACAATAGTGTGAATTTCATCATCATGTATACGTTTTGTACGCATAGACAACACAAGTTCTATCCCACAGCTAGTGAAGCATGTTTTAAAAAATGCCTTTTTTTCTTCTGCACGTGTCTGATGTCTCTGCTTTTGGGCCCTTGTCTGTAAGCGTGTCGTCCTGGTCTTCAAAGTCAGATGTGTAGTTTGATCTATTTGAGTCACTTTGCAGTCTGCAGGGAGAGGACCATCTGGAGGTGTCACTGCTGGATATCACAACATCACTGTCCCCCTCCTTCACGTGAGCAACATGCCGCTGGCTCTGCATCACTTCTTTACTTCACTTCCTCTCCTCTGGAAAGGAAATCCCTAATTTTACAGAAAGTAAATGTAATTTATGATGGAAATGATAATTTACCAACAGCTTTCAAGGGTGAATAAACCAATTTCATAGTGATTTTCTGAGTTTAATCAAATCTATAACTGTTGTTTAGAATTGAATAAGAAAAACCTTTGAACATTTCCTCCATCACAATTTCTTAGGTGTATTGCTGTCGCCTGAGACAATAAGAGCATCATACCTTTACATGCAAATAATCTGTCTCTCCTGGTGCAGGCTGCTCACAGTGGAGGTCATTCACATGTAAGCTAGCTAGCTAGCAGCGAGGCTAACGGTGCATCGTTTAAAAACGGTTGCTAGGGGCCTCTTTTGAAATGACTGAAAAACCACCACGGTTGTCACGGTAACCAGAGGAAACATTGTTTTAAAAACGTCTCAAAACTTCGAGGGAAACCGTTTCTGCTTCAAAACATGAAATGATGTTTAATGATTAATTGAAATGTCAAAAGATAAATAAAGGCACCTAATATTTGTCGCCCTAAACGGGACCGAGCGAAGCCCGACAGCCTGTAGTGGCGGTCAGTGCTATTTCTGTCCATATATGCACTCGGCGGGGGACATGAGGACGGACTCCACCGTCCCCCCACCCCCCGCGCGCCGACGGACAGCTGAAGTTGCCAATCAGCCGGTGTGGTGCTGCGCCTCGAGGGGCCGGAGCCGCCAATCCAGCGCCAACGGAGCCAATGGACCAAAATAGCCGCAGCAGTGTGTGTGTGTGTGTGTGTGTGTGTGTGTCCGTCCCGGGTGAGCTCTAATAATAGAGGAGGCCGCCTGCTCCTTTAAGACCCTACTCGTTGAACAAGCCTGCTCCGCGACACTTATTGTAACGAAAAAATGGTTATCAAAGTGTTTCTCGCGTCCGCGTCGGGGTCCACGGCGGTGAGTATTCGGCCCGTTCCTCTCGACCCCTCCACCACCACCACCACCAGCACCACCACCTCCCTCCGAGTTGGAGACACTTCCTAAAACCGAGCAGAACTTTCCCTCACACCGACCAGAAGAACACTTGTCTGTGATTTGTCGCATAATGTTGAGTGGCGGATGCTTAGTTGTATTCTTCGGTGGTGTTACGGTACTTTTAGTTACCTCGCAAGTCGATGCGATTCACAAAGGGGAACTTCTTTATTGTTGTTTTTTACCGCAGGGGCTCCAAAAGTGTTTCGCAGCCCCGGAGCCCCGATACGGAGAGAGAACCGGTGTCCGGCCCTCACGAACAGCCTGTCGTCGCAGTGCTTGTGATCAGATACATGTTGGAGTAAATGTTTACGCACTATAGAGAGGCGGAATTCATCTTCTGGATGGGCTTTTTGACAAAGCTAATTAAGCACAGAGGTGGCTGACTTGCGTGGTGTCCCAGCATTGAAAGTCTGGTTCTGTCCTCCTGGCTGCATTTTGTTGGGATTAAAAAAAAAGAAATCACCAAATTAGTAAATTAGTAGATTATTTGTTTGGTCTCATTTGTAGAAGACCATCACTTTAACCATGGAGCCAAACGGATTTCTTCCTGTTACGTTTCCTGCCAAACCAGCAGTCCGAAATAGCAATATATCCAATCTGCAGCGAGATATTTGCCAACTAATTAAATATCAACATAGTCATTGTTTAAGTTTGGTGCAGGGGGACAGTTAGAATCATTAAAATCAAATTTCCATCTTTGAAGGTAAACATAAAAGCCGTTTCCCACTCACAACACGCTGTGCAATCTGCACAGATTTTCTTAAAACCAGTATGAAATTTGTCTCCTCCGCCTCCCAGATCAAGAAGAAGCAGCAAGACGTGGTCGGCTTCCTGGAGGCCCTTAAAGTGGACTACGCTCAGCTGGACATCGCCTGCAACGAGGACAACCGCATGTGGATGAGGGAGAACGTCCCGGAGGAGAAGAAGCCCGCCAACGGCATCCCCCTGCCGCCTCAGATCTTCAACGAGGAGGACTACTGCGGGGTGCGTGCGCAGGCGCGTCTTTGGCGCTCTTTCGGTTTACCGGCATTTGTAAATAAATCCGCACGATGAGTGAAGGCGGAATAGAAGATGCGGTGAGCTGCTAAAGGACGTTCTCTTTTCTTTTTTTTTACGCAGGATTATGAAACATTCTTCGATGCCAAGGAGGACAACGCGGTGTATTCCTTCCTGGGGCTGCCTCCTCCTCCCGGGTCAAAGGTTGGAACTGTTTTATTCTGAACTAAAAAAAATGTAATTTTATCCCCGTTATGACAGACTGTAAATCTGCTGTGTAGCGGAACAAAAAGCGTATATATTGTTTCTGCTTGATAAATCACTTCAACTATGTATGGAATATTAATTAAACAATTTCAAAGTGTGCACGGGGCTTGAAATGAACATCGAATAGCAGTAAATATGATAATGATTGTTTTTATTACTATGTCATGCATACATCTCGCTTACAGCCCACGTGGGACAGAAACATCATTTAAACCTAATCCACAATGCTGCACACGCATCACCGTCCGGCACAACGCAGCCCGACGGCCCGGGAAGCGCCGCACAACGCACATCGTCACGCCGTCAGATCGTGACGCCCGTGACAAAATTCATGGGCACTGCAACGGATAGCGCGTGTATACAGATGAAACCTTAAACCTGTTGACGTTAATGCAAATCTTGTGTTTTCTGAGCAGAGGTGACATATTGGCTGGCGATCTTGTGTATTTTCAAGCCCTGATTCTGTGTGACGCACTTTGGTTAAACCGGATCATTTCATTGACCCAGGAGGCAGGACAGGCCGAGACGCCTCTCGCGGTGGAGAACGGGACCCGCGGCGATGAAGCTAATGCCGAGGAGAACCTCGATGAATCAATAGTAATGCCGTCGATACTTTCACCCCCTCCTAACCCCCCCTCATGTTTCCTCTCCTGTGTGTCTTAACTTTTCCTCTCCACCCAGCCGACAGTAACTTCTCTCCATACCCGTCGACCTGAGCGCACTCTTAACTTCCTCTCATCACAGCTCACTGTTTTGGGAGTTCCGCACATTGAGATATAATTGGTTTTCTTTTGTAATTTTTTTGTGATCTTATCCAATGTGAACTTAAAAATCAAAACAAAAAGCATGTATTGTTTTCTATTCTTTCAGTCACCTTCTAACATTTTTCCTCCCAAACGATAATCCTTGCTGGTCCTGTCATTTCACTGCAGCACCTGCAATGTTGTCGTGTCTATTCAGCGCTTCATGTCGAGGATCTGTAACTGCATTTTGACTGCTCGAAACCTAATTTTAGATTTGTCTGATTTGACATTTTGACCTGTAAGATTGAAACTATTTCTGCCCTTCCAGTGTACAAGGTTTCTCGTCACAGATATCAGATTACAGATGTCTACGGTTCTGCTACAGATATCTGAGAAGTGAACTACGGATGTGACTCTTTCCGGGTTCAGACATCTACAATATAATTTAGACATTTAGGTCGAGATCTGAATATACAAAAGACATTTTTTCACGTTCTACAGTAGAATCTAAATCCTGTATCAAACATCGTTAAAATGGAAATCTATTAAACTACAGCCATCAGCTGCTTAGCTTAGCTTAGCACAAAGACTGGAAACGGATGCAAACAGCTAGCTTGGCGCTGACTTGTTTAGCTCTCCGATGAAGTTGTTCATTCTGCGACAATCTGCCACATAACAAACTGTTGTCCAACTCTTCAACTTTGAGGCAATCAATTATTCTCACACGGGACAAAAAGGCGTTTTCGTAAAAGAAGTACCGACAGAAGTGCTCTCCACTTCTACCCCTCCTCTGTTTTATCCCCAGGATTGCTGAAAACTCACCTTTGCAGTTTTCCGATCCTCTCCTACCGAGGAGCTGACCGTCTTTTTAGTTGTGGGACCGCTGCCTCGAACGACCGCTCACGTTCCAGCTCGCTCGTTTCCCCTGATCCTCAGTTGTTGTTTTTTCGCCTCCCTATAAGGAGGTTCCAGTGGAGGAGCGCAATGGGAATGCACACGGGGAGGAGGAGGAGCAGGTAGCCGACGGGGAAGAGGAGAGAGGTGAGGGTGACGAAGAGGAGGTAGCAGATGGAGAGACCGCGGAGGACGGAGTCACGCAAGGAGACGAGGAGGAAGACACAGACGGGATCACAGAAGAAACTGTAATTGCCCCTCAACTGCGATCCAACCTCCCGCCGTTTGGCCTCTCAACTTCCCTGGATGTTTTGGATTTAATGTCTTCTCCTTCACCTTCCCATCATTCCCTCTACTGTCCCTTGAATGTCCTTTTCTTCCATATTAAGGATTTCCCTTCATTTTTTGAGTGCCTGTGATCCTCGAACTGCAGTAACCCCCAAAATGTGTAACTCTCCTCTTCACCAATGGACATTTAACCTTTCCACCGTCTTTTGGTAACCTATTGTCTGTTTCTTTTGGGGTTTCCCACCATGTGTCTTCGTATGTCTTGTCTTCCATCCCATATTTCACTGCACATACCCGATTACTATTAACCGCCTTGCTCCAGGTCTTTTCCCTCAGACTCCAAACTTCTCCTGTCTGTGGTTCAGTGAGCGTCTGTGGATGCTGTTGTGTTTTAGTGTGAATAAAGTTTGTGTGTGTGTGTGTGGGGGGGGGGTTAAGTCCGTACTGTAGCACAGTCTGACATGTATGATGCTGATAGTTGTGTTTCTTTTGTCAGCAGGCCCAAGCAGAGGATGTAGAAGAGGAGGAGGAAGAAGAAGAAGAACAGGTAGGTTTATCAAAGGTTCACAAACACACCGATGTCTTCTTCTGGGGATCTGAACATCTCGTCTAAATCAATGATGACTAACAGATTAATAAGGTTTTTTTCAAAAGCGTTTTCTCAAGGTGCTGTGGGATTTTTCGTTCACAGTGGTTTTAAGAAACTCCCAGAGAATTTCCATTAATGAGGACTTCTCTTCCCCTTTTGACTGGAGTTACTTACTGAAACACGCATGCTGTTTTCAATTAATGCTCACGTGAAATTTGATGAAATATATATAACCCTTTTTCTTGATAATGTGAGCAAGTCTCAGCTGATCCAATGCAAACCTCTAACGTCCCACTCCTTTCCTTTTCAGTCCAATGGCATAGTATTTATTTATCCATGCATCCCTTGACTGTGCACAGGCATTTGAATGATTAACACTTTTTTTTGTAGCACTTAATATTAAATATTCAGATCAACCATTGTTTTCCATCTTCACACCACTGGGAAAAGCATATAAAGAAGACATTTGGGGTTTGTGTTCTGGTCCACTGATTCAATCGACTTAGCTGCATCACTTTCAGGGGTCCTGCTGCAGTCTTGTTCTTCGTGCACGGCCTTTGACCCCTTTCTTTGCCCTTTGTTTTTCTCTTGGTTTTGCTCCCTCCAGGAGGAAGAGGATTTGCAGTCGGAGGTAACTGTGCGTCGGCGATCGGCTCTTTCCGCGGCTCCTCCGCGTATTCATCGGCAGTGTGGGTTTGATGGTGCAGCGATGAGCGGAGGGCTGCTCTGGTTTCGGGGTGGGATGGGCTTGGCCTGCTGTTCCCCCTCATCTGTGTACTCTTTTTAATGTGCTCGCTTTCTCCGTTCCCCTCTCTCGCTCCTCATCACTTCTGCTCCCATCCGCCTCCCGCTCTTCCTGCTAACATCCCGTTCCTCATTTCTCCCCAGTTTCTGTAGCTGCCTCCAGACAACCTCAACCATCCCCATGTAGTTTTCCATTCCAAATCAGGAGACTTCTCCATAGCGCATGCCCGTGTTGCTCTTTTGCTCCCCACACAGCCGGCTGACCTGCTATCTGTTATTCACTCCTAGGAGGAAGAAGAGCTTCGGCAGCTTGAGGTAGATTCACTTGTTTCTTTATTAACCTGGCCCGATCATTCCTCAGTTTCTTTTTTACCGCTTCCTTCATCACTTGAAGACTGTCAAACATTCCCTGAAAAATGTCTCCTTCGCTGGATTACTATTAGACTTTAAACCACCAAGGAGTGACGAGTCAGAATAAGATTGAGGACAACACTGTGGGCCATACCAAGAGGTTTTTGCTCGCAACCTCAAGTGTGTGTCGTGTCCACTCACAAATGCAGTGATGATTGAAAGTATGACCTCCAGTGCTTGTCGTGACAACACTGCCAATGCAAGAATCAATTTAAAGAGCCTTTTTTAAACGTCATTAGTTTGGTACTGCATTCTAGTTGGTGTGCAATGGACTTAGAAGTTGACTTCTGCATCCCTGTTTGCATTCGCACAAGCACATAGACGCATAGACACATAGACACACCTGAGCATGCACTTACACACAGGGATGTCCTCTCTCTCTTCTAGAGGAGACATGTCTCTCAATTTTGTAAAATCTTGTTTTTCACACATGCACGTTAACAGTTCCAGTTTGATTGACTAACTTAAAAGATCTCTGAAAAGTGTCCCCATGCTCTCCAGATGAGAGAACAATGACTCAGTCCTGCGTTTCTGCACTTACCTGCGGCTACATTGAGCACCACACACTCCCAAAGCCAAACCTATGCGTTATATGACACATTGTGTTCTTACACGGTATGAGGCTATGAGGGGCATGCTTGCTTTGTTGGGACTCGTTTGTGAAGAAAGTGACGCGTCTCGACGTTCTGCTTCTAACTTAAACTTTCCAAGTGAATTTGAAATGGACCAGACAGCAGGATTAGAAAAGACCAAGCAAAAGTCCAGTTGATAAAATGTCCTTCGATGTGTGAAAAGAGCTCCACCTCTCTCTGAGACATTCCAGCCCCCGGCCTCATTTTCTTGTCCTGTATGCTTCAGTGCTTTGCCTCGCCTTCTTTGCTCGCCACCTTTGTCGTATTGTCCCGATTCTCTTGCAGGGGCCAGACCAACAAGGCTGTGAGGTTGTTTCTGTGGTTTTAGGAGTCCTGTGTATTTTAGGCCGGGTTGAATTTCGGGTCCTTCTTTGTGAGCTGCATGGATTTGTTGCTGATGGTGTGCCGCATGAGAAACACTACAACATTCTCACTTGAACCGTTGGATTCAGTGTAGTATCAAAAATGCAAGTCCACATAGTGACCATCTGTTCTGAAGGACGTATAACCGTGATCCTCTTGCCCGCTGTGTGACATTAAATTACTAAACGCCACATGTTTCCCTCTTCTGTAGGAAGAAGAAGAGGCTGAAGCACAAGAGGTATGTACATATATTCTGTTTTGTGGATGCGACAAGGTCCAAAGAGCATGGCTGAGATGGAGCACTTCATGTGGTTTTGCAGCAGTAGGAGGGAAAAAATACCCACAGAAAAATATTTAGTAACGTCAGATGACCCGCTGGGTTGTGAACCGCTGCCTAATCTGTTTCCAGGTCACGTGGATCAGTGCGATAGCATCTTTAATTCGTACCACAGGATGGAATCAAGTGATTGTGGCGTCTTATTATAGAAAATGACGTCAACTCCCTTTTGTCCGTCAGCGCGAGTTGTTTACTGAATCCTCCCCTGCGGTGCACCGTCTTGAGCACCACCCTGGTCTCACTTAGGTCACTTGGTAATAAACAGAACCCTGTGGGGGATTAGCTCCCTCTCTCTCGCCCCCCGCTGTGGGCCGCACCTCTCTCGGGTTACTTCTTCTCCATTTTTAACCCACCCGCCCCACAAACACCAGCACGCGAAGTCCTCTCGCCTCGCTGTCATCCGGACCGCGGCATCACGCGATCCCTTGTCTTCTCTTTTCTTTTAAGAAGAAGAAGGAGACTTGGAGGAAACACAGGTGGTGTTACAGCAACAAGGTCAAATACATTCTGTCACATCTGAACAGCTGCCTGTGCTTGAGATGCCTCCAGGAAATGTTCTTCTGCTCGTATTAAGCTTGTGGATATGTGGGGGACACAACACACTTTATTCAGACTCCGTTACTACTGATTTTAGAAGAGCAATAAGAAAAAAGACAAGCTTTCGGCTCTTTTTATTCAATCTGTTTGAGGAATCATGATTGCTTTTAGTTTGTGCAACAAACTAAGTAGATCCAACGGTACCTAATCTGTTCGTCTTAAGTCCACTGAGGTTACAGCCAAACTCACTGACTGGGATCTGACCCGGGGGCCCGGGACGACGTGATCACACAACAAGCAACACACACTGCACCAAGTCTTACTGAATTATTCAATGTTTCTAAAACCTAAGCGGCTATAATCCCATAACAACTCAAAACAGTTGAAAAAAGCAGATTTGAACAGATTCTTGAGAATTTGTCATTCATACGTGATTCTTTCTTTTAACAGGAGGAAGAGACTGAGTAGTTAAAGCCGAAGGACCTCGTTGATGCCGACCTGCTACTATCCAGGTACAACATCTCTCTCTCTCTCTCTCTCTCCCCCCACGGCTTCATGACGGTGCTGTTGCTCCGCCACTGGAGGGCAGTAGCACATTGTGGGAATTAGAAACACCGGAGCACCGATAGGGTGTTGCTCGGATTATTGTCATTTATATAACCAGATTAATTAAACTGTGTTTTGCTTTTGTGTGGCTCTTGACCCCGCCATTAAATCAAAGGCTAATAACAAACGGTTACTCGAACCCCCTCTGCTTTATCCGCATTGTGTCCTTTGCCTCTGAAGCAGCGGTGTAGCATTCACTGCCACGTAACGTTCTCCCCTTTACACACAAGAGGCACGAATCTCACGCTGACGCTCTCCTTGCCTCATCGGGGTGGTCTCCATTGTGCTTTCGTTTGTTTATTCCCGTCGACTTGCACTTTGAGGTGTTCACTCGGAGGTTACACTAAATAATGCAGCAGCTTATTTACAAGGGACGGCCACCACTGGCTCCAGCCAGCACACAGGCTCAGTGAGCACACTCCATGCGGGGGGGATCCACAACACAAAAACATCCCAAAGTTCCTCTTTTTTTTTTTTTTTTTGTTCCTCTGAGGCAGTGATGATGATGTTGATGATGATAATAATAATCCTCATCTTCAAAGCAGGTCTTTAAGTCCCTCGCCGCATGTCAGGCGTCAGTGACCTCGTGCATTAAGGGCCACAGAGCGAGCTTCTCTTCCCTCAACTGTTTCTCCCAAACCCTGCGAGCCCCTGTCACGCCTCGTTAGCGGAGGCTGCTAAGTGAGCTTCACACGTGCCCCCGGAGCAGCGGGCGCGCTGGGTGGCACCGGCGCAGCAGCCACCGCAGACCGTCTACTGGAAAATGTGTGACCTCGTTTTTTTAGCTTTGTGTCCCGTTTTTCCTTGTGTTTCAGCCCGAAGGAGCCTCCCGTTACGTCTCTCCCCGACCCCTGACGCTTGAACCCCTGCACCTCTCCCCGATGCCCCACTGGACCCCACTGGAAACTGTCCGTCATGTGCTCGAAGGCGCCGTCCAAAGTGAAAAGTCCTAACCCACATTTGCCCCACAACCCTCTTCCCTTTTGACTGCAATGTTGACTTAATTTTTATATTCTGCATTTAGAGACTGTAATGAAAGTGTGCAGAGTAGCCTAGAGGTTGTCTGTTTTAATGAGTAGATTTTGTAAAATGCAAAACAGTTATTTTGTTAGACTCACATATTTCTCATGTTTCACTTATAGAAATCCTAGTTTTCTAACTCAAACAGACAGTGACCTTTACAAAGAATATTACCGTGGCATTTCTTAGCTAGTGGCCTACTTCAGATACAAAGGTTCTCTTCTGTGTTCAGCAGTTTCACCAATGTCGTGCCTTGTCGACTCTTTCCACCAAGTCAATGTATAAATGCAAAGTAAGACTTCTAACGTCCACATGAGAAAAGACTACGCGCGTATTTCAAACTACGCCACCGCCGCTACAATTACGTCTTCCGATACTGCTGACGAATCAATGCACTTTGTTGAATGAGGAGTGAAACTTGACTAAGTGACTAAGTCTTGGATGCAATAGGAAATGCAATAAAATAGACGTGGTATAAAAATAAGCCTCAGTGGTTCTATTCCTTTATTTTGTATAAAGCTGTATGTTGACATATTTATAGCTCAGTGGGCCATTGTGCAGGGTCAGCAGCCCACAGCCAAACAGGAAAATACTTAAATGCTTTGTCCATAGAGATCCCGGGAAAATGAGGAGGGAGGCACACGACACCATAGAAAAATATATTTAGCAAAGGCATTGTACTTTACAACACAAGTTGTCAACAGGGTATACTGGGCTGTAGTACGTTACCGAGAACATTAAGGCGTTTACTTTGGTCATTTAAAAAAAGATGCAACAAGCAGCTTACTGGTATTAACAAATCTGTGTTCCTCATTTTATAAATGACCCAAAAAAACATACAATAAAATGCTTTACTAGCCAAACGTTGTTAAAACAAGACCTGTTAGCAACACAATGAGCGAGGTTGCATGCTAACGCTAACGTGTTGAGGTGTAGCACGTATAATGTTTACCATCTTCACCATGTTATTTCTGCTCATTGCCGGCTTCAATTTTATAATTAGCGCCAGTAGTTGAGGGGCCAAACTAACCTTTCAGTGCTTGTACACATTCATTTTGGCAACTTGCTGATACTACCAACCCGGAAACTGAAACTTGTGATTCAACTACTCAGATGTCACATTCTGTCCCAATCAAAAACTTCACCAAAAGTCCCAAACTCGTAGTTACAAGCAGTATTTCCTGGGGAACATGAATGTTGTTGAGATAGTTCAGGCTGGTCCAAAGAGGTGGACGGACTGACTACACCAACACTACCTGCACCTCTTACTGTACATCTGACCCGTTTACCCAGCTGATACACCATCCATGTGTGTCCAAAGCCATTGATTTGACGAGGGCGGAGGTCCGAGGCCCCCCCCCGGGAACCGGGGACTTACAAGGTTCTATTGTGTGCCGTGTGAGCCACTCTATATTTACCTCAGTGTGTAGTGTAGTTAAGTGTGTAGCACGGGGCAAAGTGCGCGCTGAGTTTGGTAATATTTAACAGGTCAGTTTGGGGTGACATGGCTGTGCACCAGGTACCACCGAGGTAGTATCCGCCGCGTGGATCCCCGAGTGCTCGACCACGGAGACGCCAAACTGAGGTGAGGCACATGAACGCAGCGGCGTCGATGGTTATTTGCGGTCCAACTTGAACTTCTTTCAGAAGCTGGTGCTCGACGCTGCGTGTGAAAGAAATGGTTGAGAGACAGGTGCATTTTTACCATGTGAAAGATCTCAGGGATTTTACTGGGTAACTATGTAACTGATATGAATGCAATTGAACCGGAACTCTTCACAGTGCTAAATGATAACTTTCTTATTTTATCGGCAGAGATCAAGAAACGCATATCCCAGCTAAATTAAAACAAATTTGAAATAATATATATTTTTTCATCCTCCGAAGCCAAGAACACATCGACCCTATGCTGTATCTTTTAATTCAACTATGTAAAGCATTGTTTATTTAAGTTTACAATTAATATTATTATAAACCCTGTTTATATAAACAAGGAAATAAAAAACAGATGACCATATTGCATACAAAAACTCTTGACAAGAACTTTTTGAGTTATAAAAATGTTCAATTTACTTCTCATATACAATAAACACATATTTTATTGCATTGCTTTATTTTGTGACAAAAAAGATAATTTGTAAAATGTTGCTTAGAAAGACAGGGATGCACACGGATAAGTTGAGCTAATAATAAATACAATTAATTTAAATCCAACAAAATAAAAGCTCACTTGTATTTATTTGAATTCCAGGTCAATTTAAAATATTCGGTGGGAACGGTGATGGCATCTTGTGTTTCACATGTAGAAAGATTTCCCCCCTAAATGCCGAAGGCTGGCATCACTGAAGACTTGAGATCACGATCCTCTTCTGTAGGGTAATAACTTAGTTATTTTTATTTCCTGTCCGTTCAGCATTGAACAATGGATTGACTGGATCAACTGATGAAACATGGACATCATTCATCTGCTCCTGCTCCTACTGTCATGCATAATTCAAGGTGAGACCTTGATTGTAACAATGGGCCAGTGATGTACTCGTACTATCGGCCGTATTCAGAGGTTTGTTGTGCTCGATATAAGCATTTACCGGTTCATCAGAAGGCTTAGTGATCCATCTTCTTCAGAATAGTTTGGTTAAGTTAATTTGATTTGGACATCGTATGGAAGCAGTAGTTCATCACAGTAGGATGAAGACAGTGGTCAGGCAGAGTCAGTGCTTCATGGTCCCAAAAGGAGCACGTCTAAATGCCATTTTCTAATTGCAGTGCAAAGAAAAGGCCTAATTGGCAGGCCTCGTTATTTATCAGGCCCAATGTTCTAAACAGATGCTTAATTTATGTCTAACTGTAGATTTTATTTGCATGTAAAAGTGTTTACCCTGAAGAATGCTGCAGTGTCCTTTTACCAAAATGTACGGATTAATCTGCGTTCTCCCACTTCTGTTGAGAGCCACGGTGTTTAATTCTCTTCTTTTGTCTCTTTATGCCCCAAAGGCTTTCTTGTTCTCTTTGTCTCTTTCCGTTTTTGCTCACTCTCTTCATGTCTTGAATGTAATTGGAAATGTGTTTGAAAAGTGACGCACACTGACCGTCCTTTGTAGTTTTTGTGTTGAACGATAAACATGAGCGATTGCCTCTACTTGCTGGTTACTCATTCTCCAGCCTCGTTAGGGGTTTTCTTTAACGCATCGACTTCCATTTATCCCCCTGGCTATGTTATTATTTAATCTAAAATTATCCCCAATATTTTGTTAGTAATTCTTTTTCCAAAAATGTAATGTCAATTCTTCTAAAATGTCTTCCTTGTGCACTTACCATTTGAATGTTGTTGACCTGTTTGGGTTCACAATATAGATCACTTGTGTGTTTCCCTTCTACGAGGGATTTTCTGAAAAGGTCAAAAGTGATTTTGCATTACTTTTATACACAACTGGTCTTATTCGCTCTTGTTTAAGGACTAGTTCGAAAAGGTTGAGTATATGATGGTTGCCTGGCAACCTCACTGTTAATGACAGGACTGGAAACAACAGCGTCCTGCTGGGAAATAGTCTCTCCCGTAATGCGCAGTTAGCTTTTTGTATGGATTACACAAACAAGATGTAAGGCATTAACTAGTGAGCTTTGGACTTGCATATTTGGTGTGAGACATGAGAGCGGAATCTATCGTCCCAACTCTCAACAGCAAAGCGAGTACGTTAAGTGCATTTCCCAACTATTTATTTCAGGTACATTAGCAGCAGTGTTGGTAAGTTTTACCCTGGGGCTTAATAAACATGGAAGGACTAATGTATTTTATTTCCGTCTCTCGTCGGTTGTCAGCAGTCCGAGGTCAGGTGACGCTGACACCTGAAACACTAACGGTCCTGAAAGGAAAAGAGGCCCGGTTTACCTGCAGGCCCTCCCTCCCCGAGTGGACCGTTATGGTGTGGCTGATGAACGGCAAATCGGTTCTCACCATCTCCAATAAGACGGGTGCCCTGAACACTGTCCACCCAAATGTGACGGCCGAGCAAAGCGGAGACGGCTGGGTGTTTGTCATCAACAGGACGGAGAGGCACAACGAGGGCTCAGTGGTCTGTGACCTCCAGGGTATTACTACGAAAACAGCAAACCTGTTTGTACAAGGTCTGTATGCCTGTGCGTGTGTGTGGGACTGTTTATTTCTGCTGCAGAGAAAGGCTTTCTGTGCTCCGCTCAGGAATACGCACATTCTTGCAACTATAGTCTTGTGCGCGCACACACACACACACACACACACACACACACACACACTGAACGCATTGAACAAAAACAAAACAAGCCTATTTGGACTCAACTGTTGCAGTGTGAGCGCGTGCAGAAACACACTCAATTTAACCTTGACGAAACGAAAAGGAGGTAAATAAAAGGACTACACTGTAGTTGTAAAAACGTATTGATTCTGTCGACCCTCCACGCAAATCATTCTTTAGTCTGTATTTTGCATCCGAATTCAAGGCACTCGTCCTAATTATGGGCTTTTTTTTTATTGACTTGAAGTGGGGATTTAAGGATTGTAGTTTTAGCAACAGAAGAAACACCCCAATGATCAATCACGGTGAATATCAGGGGGGGGGGGGGCGGAGGGGGTCATTTGGGCCTGTGAGGTTGGGTACAGTTGCCCAGGCGTGTTTGATGGTCTCTGTGACATTGTTGATGACAGTGTGGATGGTGTTGGGGATTGGAATTGATTGGCCTTCAGTTATAAACACCCGGCGGAAAAGTGCTGGACTGCTGTGAGCATGCCAGGCAGAGCAGGATTTACAGGCCTCCTCTCCCAAGAGTCAGGACTCTGTGAGAATCAGTAGCTCGCTGCAGTTCTGATGATGTTGATATCTCAAGCTGAAGAACACTGCAGTGTTCTGACTTCCCCGATTGGGATGACAAAGAAAAAAATGTCTAAACAAGCGAGTTAGAGAAGATTCACTTAAATTGGCCGGACCATTCACGGACATTTTCATATCCACACACAATTAGAGATGATGAAAAAAAATGATTAGGATTGGTGTGGAGGTCAGGAAAGGTGAAGCAATTTCCTCCTTTTTGCTAGAGGGAGGAAAGCCAGGCTTATTATTTTTAGCACAAAGAAGGATGTTTCAATGTTTAAACTTAATTAAAAAAAGAAGGTTCAAAGTCGTTTCAAGTTCAAGACTGCTTAACGAAAAAATGCCACATTTTAGAAAATTATTGACACATGCTTCCCCACTCGATGCTGCCGTTCCAACTCCCAAGTAGGTGACCCGCCTCAAGCTGGACCACAACTACAGCGAAGCTCCAAGAGCTGCAGTGTGAGCAGACTGAATTGAACTGAAAGTATCAGCGCACAAACATCGTCTCTGTTAAAAACCTTGAGGACATAAACCCATGACCCATCGCCTCCGATATATTAGTGAGAGAGCCTCCGTTGCTGCCAGCGCCACAAATCCCCGCTGACACATGCAGCCATTAAAAGTGGTGCATGGTGAATCAGGCCCTCTGGTCTGGATGCAGAGGATCACTGCGGCCTGACACGGCCTCTGGATTAATCGTGCGTCCTGGCACGGCCGGTTAACAGTCAGCAACTCTGCCTACGATTTGTGTGCTGCGGCTTCAAATAAACTGTTGGAGCGCAGCCAGGAATCCACCGCCGCCCGGGGGGGGGGGGGGGGGACTCTGGGTGCTGTCATCCGCGCGCCCCGATTTAATTGTCCAACGTGAAGATGATTTAAATGTGACAACACACTCATGCTTGCTGCTCCTGCTCTCCTTATTTCTCCGTCACACACACACACACACACACACACACACACACACACACACACACACACACACACACACACAAACAAACACATACACACTTGAGCAAATCAATACGGTTGCATGCGCTGTTGACTTCGACAGGGTCTGCAGTGAAGGCCAGAGCTGCAGAAAAGTCTCCAATAGAAATCAGAGCAGATTGAACAGCAGAAAAGTAGAAGCACAGCGCCGTTCTCGTTGGAATAAATTCACCCGCGGGGCGAACGTTATATGGTTTTCGTAAATGGACAAAACGTGTGCCGCTTACACAGCAAACCTCGAGACGGACATGTGAAAGTGTTTGAATGCTGAGGACCCCTCCGAGGACCCCTGCTGAAGAATCAGTGGCATTAGAGTTATCTGGGGGCGCTCAGCCTCAGTCTGCCACAGTGATTCACCAACCTTATGGAACCGTACTCCTGGGGTAACTTAAATGGAAGCTTTGGGAGAGAGTGCTGGTTCCTTTCTCTATTCAGATCTATCAATCTCCCCCGGAGCCCCTCGTCAGTCAGTGCAAATGAGGCTGCTGGTTTTTCCTCGCCAGCCTCCATTCTCTAAGAGCAGACCAGAGTCCCTTTTTATTAGGGTGGTATGTGGTCGGCTGTTTATGAAAAGGGAGAGACAATAAGGCGTTCAAAACCGCAGAGGATTTGAACCCGAATCAACACAGACGTGTCATTCGCTTTTGTAATTATCTTTCTGTCTGTAGCAATAGTCGGTTGCATTCAGAGCCTCTCATTCTGCCAGACAATGGACTTCACATATGAGATACTGTATCTCCCTCGGCCTTAAGTGGCTTATTTAGCCGGCAGGGAAGAAGATGAAAGGGAGAAGAGGCGAAGGATTTGAAGCAATTGAGACTTTGAGACGCGCGATCAGCCGCCCGGGACGAATGATAAATCCGTCTTTTGTAAGCGAGCAGGCGAATTGGAGACGTGCTGCTCACCTTTGGGTACAGACGGGTGGATGCAACAACTTGCATTTCGACAGAAATTCATGGATTGCTTCCCGGCGTTAATGCTCGTACACCTACTCACACTCATGCATGCAGGACTGTTCAGAAGTACATTAACATGCACATGAATAAGACAAAAAAAAGTGTGTGATTCTGATTGCAGAGACGGGCAGCGTGAAAGTCGTTTTGGACAACAGGTTGGCTTTAAAGGATTCCTGGGTGCAGTTTGAATGCCTAACAGCAGGATGGTACCCTGCGCCCACTGTGCAATGGCAGGTGAAAGAAAAAGAGGTAAGTGCACACATCCTTCTGACTATGACAATATTCAGAACTGAGGAACTGATGTTTTACTATAAAACACTTATTAAGCTCAAGGTTTATCCGCCTTATATTGTGGTCAACGCATTCCATTGCAACCGGCAAAACCACTTTCTTTTCAAGTATCCCTGGAAAAAATCTCTCATGGAACACCTGTACAGTCATTGTCTCTAGAACAATTTATGCCAAGAAATTTTCCCACGTTAGATATTTGTTTTGCGCCGAGTACCACAAACAAAATGGTTTAAGCTTCATCACATTGGTGTGAATGTGAACTACGGCCACACTGATCGCCTTCAGAATGAGCCGTTTTATTGGTTCATCTCCAAAGAGTCAGGCAGGCGCTTTCTTTGTGCCGTTTTTTAAAACTCAGCATTTAAAATGGCCACGGCCTTTGGCTGCCTCTCAAGAAGAAAAAAAAAAGAAACACCTGCTCAGTTACTTTAAATTTCAGCTCTGTTTTGAGTGTTTACACCAGTGGCCCCCAACCTGTTTTACCTCACGGACCGTTCGGACCGGTCGGACCGGTCAAAAAGGTCCGGTGGAATAACGGGAGGGGTAGTAGTCGTTGCGGGCGGAACGACCGACGGGGGGGGGGTGTAGTAGTCGCACACTCTGTGTTCGCTGGTGGGCAAAACTGCCGTGTAAATTTTCAAAATAAAACATTTTTCAGAAAAAAAATAAAAAATAAATCTTTCTGTGGTGCGGCCCGGTACCAAAGGGCCCGCGGCCCGGTGGTTGGGGACCACTGGTTTTACACAATAACTACTAAACTAATTCTCTCTGGTATTTGGCATTGAGGGGAAAGAGACAAAACACATCAGCAGCAGTGAAACGACCAAACTCAACATCATGGCAACGAAGAGCTCAGATGTGTCTTGTCTGGCGTCCGTGTCTGCCCTGCTCACGCCACTGAAGAGCTGCGCCCGTCTGACAGTGGGTGAGAGGACGCAACATTAAACGCACACTTTACCTTCCTTCTCGTGTATTTGAATCGGTCTCTTTGTGTGTTTCACTGTCCCTTGTTTATTTTTTGGTCCGTCCCTCTTTTTGGGAAGCCTGTTAATCATCACTCAGCATTATTTTTGAAGAGGAGAAGGGGATCAGAAAAGAGGCGGCAGATCTCTGACTGCATGCGTTTGCGTCACATGAGAGAAGCTCTCTAAGGCTCAGAATACAAACACGACATCATTATCTCAGTGATGTTCCATTTGTCGTTGTGACACTTTCATGAAACCCACTCCCTCGCTCACACAGCAGCATATTAAACGCAAGGCTGAACACAGCTTTCTTTGCGCCGCGTCTGCAAATCTGTAATTGAGTTACGAGGTAACGACACCGCTTCTCTTTCAAGTTACTGATGTGACCTTTTCTCCTCAGTTGTAGAGGTGGGGCGGGAGAAGGAGGAAGATGTCTGCAGCGTGGTGCCCCTGGCAATAATGTCCTCCCTCTCTGCTCTTCTGCTGCTCCTCCTGCTCTGTATCTGCACCGTCCTCTGGCTCAGACGGAGGAGACAAGCACGTATGTGCTTTTTTTTTACTTACTTAAAAAAAAGAAAAAAAAACGCCACTTCCCCACGACACCTTTTCCAATCCAGAAACCGTGATTAAAGTATAATGAAGAAATGGGCGGTTACCCGCTGTGACTCGGCGCTGCCTCGCGCTGCCCTTCATCGAGGACACGCAATATATTTTTCTGACAAAGGCGGAACATTAGATGTCTGCACAAAGCTTTTTCTCCTCAGGAGGCTGCGACAGCACAGATGCGGGATGTACATATGTGGACCGTATGACTGCAGGGTTGGAGGTTTGAATCAGTAAAACTGGGACAAGTCACCAGGAGGAAGGACTATTAATGCTGCCCCTGGATACAAACTGCAGGGTTGAGCCTGAGCGAGACGCTTCACCAGTCAAACAGTGCGAAGACACATCTGTCACCGCAATTACTGTAACTTGACTGAGTGGCTTTTCCAGTCCAAGTGCAACTGGAGTAGCAAGTTTATTTTTGCTTCAAACATACAGTACATATTTATGTTATTCTTTGTGGAACAAAGTAGAATTTTGTTGATAGCACTTCATCATTTTATTCTACTGAAATTGTCTAAATTGGCATGTGAATTCCTGAAATCTGGCCCCAAAAGCGTAAGCATTTGTGGTAACCGCAAATCCCCAATGTCTGTGTCAGCTTCCCTTCTGGAATTATTGCCTTTTTCACAAATAATACAGATGTAGCCACGGATGGAAACCCCCCCCAAAAAATACCTCCTCCATAAACCATCAGCTAGGAAACAGCAGTTCCACCTTGACGGACTGTTGGTCTTTACTCTCCTGGTTGATTATTTTCCAGGACGGAAAACAGGTTAATTAAAAATAGGTATCTACACGGATCAATAAAGGGACCATTCCAGTCCCGGGTTTCACCATAACCTGGTCGGTTGATCTTATGAAGCCCATTGAGACATGCAGATGAGTTGACGTTTGTTTAGTGTGGCGATCCTGGACAAGCCGTCAAACTGCGTGTGAAAAGGTACCTCGGGGAACGCGGAAGTCGTGACTCACACCAGGTTCCTGCCAGATGATTCATCAGATGATGATTGCGGTTTTGCTGCTCGCGGAGCTCTGGAGAACGGCTCATGCAAACAACTTCACTGTCCGCTTCCTCGGGTCCTTTAGCAATACTGCTGCTATGACATAGTAGAGCTGCAGAAACCTGGGGCAGAATTTAATATTAGGCAGAAGGTAGACAGCCTGGAGCCCCAATTGAGAAGGGCTCCAAACAGCTGTAAATTAATTATAATGTTTGGACATGAAAATATATTGAATTATGCTTATATATGTGCAGTATATAGCCTACTGTATTAATATTTTCTATAATGTATATACTTATATAAGGAAAACATTTTGTGAATACATTTACCTGACAGAAAGACGGGCTAGTTACATTACAGCATTTGTGGCTAACGTGAAGAAGAATTGCAGACGGAGGCGACAAGCCTTTCGTATCCTCCCAAGTGTCGCGTTTCCTTCCCTGTGGATCCGAGCTGAGAGGATTAATACCTCTCACAACTGCCGAGTCATTCAACCGGGAATAAATTCAGATCGTGACCTTTCCCACTAAAGACAAGATGCTAGTGGGTGTTTTCGGTCCAGCTGTCAATAGAGTGGAGTCGCTCTTCCCATTTATTTATCTGCATAAAAGAAGCTGGACATAATTTCCCAAAAAGTTAAACTACTCCTTTTTTTTTAAGTCTAAAGGTGGAAGCAAATCAATTAGCTCAAGAAATCGTACAAAGCCCAATTAAAATGATACGATTTTAAAACCATCACACAGCGTGAGACCAGCTTATATCCAGAAGAGGGACGAAGTTCCACCTCAGAGAGGCCGATGCCGTGTTGTTGGAGGTAAAGTAGTGAAATGTTGTGAAAAGTCTGACCAGGAAAGAGGGATTCTGCAGAAGATGTTTCTGGAGCGCCACCGCCGTAGGGGTTCGTTGTTTTATAGCACGCCGAGCCGCAGGAGGCCTGGTTGTGCGCGATAACAAAAAGGGGCCCTAAATCACTCATTTGGAAGTCAGCGTAATCCCCCCGACTCATTGTGGACCGTTGCAAATCACCGCTGTGGTTTAGAGCTTGGGGATTATCACGGAGCAGGTGTGACCTTTCTCCCCCGGCAGATGATTCCGTACCTGAGACGTACGATACCTTCCTCACCGCCGTCTCCACAGCCTTTTATGTAACAAATAAGTTGAATTAACCTCACGAGGATGTGGCGTGCCTCCAGGCCACTAAGCCCTTCTTTGAGTAATCCACCTCAATGGGGAGTAATGTATGCTTTTGTCATTTTGGGGCAAATAGAAGGGATCTAATGTAGTCACACTCAAAGACTTTGGCCGGCCTCACAGCGGGGATTTAAAATATAATGACAAAGGCAATATCATTCCCTGTGAAAGGAGCAGTTAATATGTCTCCTGGGGCAAGTGCCGTCCTGCAGCCATTGTTCTATCGCCGTGATTTCGCCGTGGCCACGAGGACCTTTGGCAAAGACAACGACGAAGCAGTGATAGAAAAACTCATTAACACTCAGCAACTTTCACCGTTGAATAGCAAAGAGACCGGGGGGCTGTGGTATTAGAGCAGAATCCAGAGCTAATAAATGGCGCGACGTGTACAGCTTTCATTCATGCGGTCAAGGCCGTCAGAATAATAAAGTCAGTGGCTGACAGATAATAATTTTGTGAACGTAATGCCTATTTTTCTTTCAGGAGCCGGCACACAGGAGGTAGTAAGGTAAGATCTAAGACTCGACACATTTTAGCTTTATGAGGCAATTTTCAAAAAATGAAAACCTTGGATTTTCTCCACTTTCTAAACTAGCAACAAATAACCATAATATCGTGTAACCAACTTCAGTCAAAAGTAGCTGTCAAATGTAGAGTCCCAGCTGTATTGAGCTGCATTTATACATTTCATAATAATAAAGACTCTCTATTAATATGTGCAACTTGTTTCTGGGAATGAATGAGCTTTTATTGTTTTTCATTCTAAAACAAAATTGAAGACATGAATTAGATGCATTAAATAGTCATTACATTTTGGAACAAGTTAATTAAGATTCAAATAGTTGTCAGCTCACTTAAGACGCAGATATTTGACGCATCACTGTTGTCAGCACATTCCACGCAGCTTAAGCCCGTCTTATAGCTTTCCCAATGAGCACATTGAAGCGAGACTCGAACAAAATGTACTGAAAAATGATGACGTTCATTTTCTTTTTAATCTGTCAAAGCGTTTCATTATGAAAACAATGCAGTGGCGCTTTGCTCACAGCAGCACGGCCTCTCTCAGCTGAAGTTTGTCTTTTCTATTGGACCATTCGTTTCGCCATTTGCAGGTCCGACCAATCGGTGAGCGGGAGGAGTTCGGTTGCCGAGGCGACAGCCGGGAAGGTCAACCTGGGATATTCTAGTGACGGCCCCACAGGTGAGACAGAGACACATAGTTCACTCTCATTACTGCACACATCAACTACAACTGGTTAATGGTAACTGTGTAGCTGTGTCAACAGAAGATTATTCAAGTGTACAGACAAATAATTCAGTTTATTCTGACAGGCCATTACAATAAATTTACCAGCTGTAAACCAAATGAACACAATATTTTTGCCTTTTGAACGGTTCCAGCCAAATACGCCAGTTTAGACCTTCATAAATCTCGGGTAGAGGTAATTACATGTTACAATTGATTAACTTTGAAGGGCCGTATTAGTATGTTTATGTGGTTTGTCTTTACATTCTTTGCACACCATTTTGTGTTTTTTGTACTGTTATATTCTGTGCTTGAAGGTTGCACGAGTTGTCTAATTCATCACATGTAACAGAGTTGGTATTCAAATTATAATCACCCTGTAATAATTTTATTGCAGATTGATTCTCCATAAAAGAATGTTACTTACTGACAAAAAGTAACACTTGATCTTCACTCTGAGTGATTGCACAACTTGAGCATGATTCATGAGTCTTTTAATGGATGTTCATGTTCTATGGAAATGTCAGGAAGCCAAATTGTCTGGATTACTCAAACCCTGCATAATGGTTTGCACAGTAATATTAAGTTTAGATGAAGACAAACTGTTTGAGTCATAGCTGTACTCACAAATGTTCGAGATTTTCAAAATCCAATGGAAATAAAACATTTAAACGAACGCTTTGTTTATCTGGTCTGGTTAATCTGGAGCCACTGAATCGCTTGATTCTTCCAGTTTTTGCTGATATCAGCTTTGAGTATAAAGTTAGGCTGTAGCTTGAGGGACCGTGAGGCTAGTTCAGGCTAAATTACTGTTCTTCACCTTGCAGATGCAGTTCACAATGAGCTAATCATGGAAACCTTTAGGCAGGAGGACTTTGTCAGCTTTCACAAGGTAAGATAGAGAAAGACAGAACGGGAGGAGAGAGACACAGAAAGACACACTGAATAATGCAACCAGTTTTGGCCGCATTCTCTCGTGCTGATGGAAACAAGTTGGACAGTAACGTGGAATAACATGCTTTCTGGCACAGTTCCACAAAATGCCATTAGCACTATTCTTTAGATTACAGGACGCTAAAGTGCCGCCAACCTCGTCGACATCATCATCACGTTGTGTCATTTACATAACGGGATGATCTTAACGTGTACATGCGATAAACTGAGGAATACATTGTTATGAATATACACCGTGATAATATCTTGTGTAATGAGCTTCCTTCTGTTCTGCCGCACGCGGCCCCTTCTCCCAATTACGTCTGATGTAGAGCAGCTCTCGTCTCGAGGTCACAAGTTCAGTTCTGGTTCACTGTGTTGGAAGCGATGGGTTTTGAGTTTGGTAATGGGATTGCCTCACCGGGAGGGACCAGACAGGCTGAGGACTTCAAAGCCATAGTCGATATGTGTTTGTGTGATTGTTTTGTCGCTGCTGCTGTGGGAGAGAGGTTTTCAGGGGCTTGAGAATTGTCACTAAAACCTGAATTGAATGGTTTGTGTCCCAGGTCCCTGATGTCATATCCCCCAGCAACCTGTCTCCACACGGGGACGGACCAGCCCAGGTTTGTCTAAAAGAGCAAAACTCCACCAATACTAGGAGAATGACAACAGTTTGAATCATGATATTAAATATAAAAATGTGGCGCCAAATACAGTACAGTATTTACAGGTGCCCCCTCACTAGTGTTTATATTATATGATGTTGCACATTTTTGTAAAGTTGTAAGCTATTTTTATGTGATCTAAAACTATTCTGAAAAATATATTGTGACGCCTCTGACTTTAATGTGCTTTAATGTATGCGTGAAAAACTGTTTTAAAAACATACTCTAACTTTCCCGAAAATGTGTGTGATCCTTTATGTTCGGCTTACATGTTTTAGATGACTATAGTAATTTAGATATAAACTACAGCTCCTTCTTATTTTTGCAGCTTTGACCATGATTACAATATTACCCTCAAGATAAAAGTTGCAATAAACCACAACAAACATTTAGGGCCGGTTTCGGAGACAGGGCTTAAATCAAGACTGAAGTAGGCCTAAATCAGACTAGTTAATCCTGGCTATTTAAGTGGCTTGCATGAACATGGCATAAATTTGGCTTAGTTAGTCTGAGACTATGGAGTCCTGGAGTAAGCTTAATGAGAACACCTGGTTCAAGCCTCATTAGACTAAGTGGAAGCACAGGCTGTTGGTCCAATTGTGCTCATGAAAACCTGAAATGGAGTATGAAACACCATTGTTGCAGTGAATTTTGAGACAACACAATGTCAGAGGCAAAGAGAATTCGCTCCAAAAATTATAGTGAGCATGAAAAAGCACTACTAAAACTAATTGTATCGAACCATCCAGTCATTGAAAGCAAAATCCATACTGCTGCTATTGAACATAAGAAAAGAAGTGCTTGGACTGCAATTGGCAAAGAATTCAATGCAAATGAAGATGTCACCACAAGAACAGTACAACAACTGCAGGTGAGTTAATCTTCATTATTAGGCACAAAAATATGTGTTTGTTTCCTGTTGCCTATACCCTGCTTATTTATGGCCTACCCAAATACAATACTCCTGCTGCTTGTAGCATTCACATTGAATGAATATCCTGTTTAAAAGGATAGTAACCTATTTTAAAGGGGCATATGCATGTTAAACATGGTGGTAGAGTAAGATATGTTGCACAAAGGAAAATCCATACCTATATGTGAGGGGGAAAGAAATATACAATCATTTCTCCACCATGACCTAAATTATCAGGAGACAAACTTATTTTTATTATGCCTTATCAGTACCAGTATTTCAGATTTCCCATATTACTATTTTTGTGACATCAAAAAAGAAAACTAATGAATGATATCTGCCTTCATAGGTTCTATGGAAGAACATTAAACTGGGATTAAAAAAAGAGAATGCAGCAAGCAGAAGAGAGCGATTTATTACAGGTGGTGGACCACCAATAAAGGACACATGTGATGAATTGGGTGACTTGCTGTCTGGTATAATAGAGCACCAGCAACCTCTGGATGGTATACCAGACAATGACCATTTGGACAGTGAACATGGAGAACTGAGCACAAATGGTAAATATACCTTAGGAAGTAAATTGGTTACAGGACCATATTAGTTGATTTGAGTTTGGAACAGTGGTCTTTTTTTCCAGAGGAAACCAATCAAGAGCCAGTTCACAACGAGCCTGAACCCTCCACATCTGCTATGGCACCCCTGGGAGATGAAGCTGCTACCATCCAACAGAGACCAAAAAAGATAACTATGCATGAAAAGTTAGCCAGAGAATTTCATGAGCGTAAAATTGAATATTTAAAAGAAGAACATGAAATGAAAATGAGAATTCTAGAGGTTGAACTGGATATGAAATTGGGAGAGAGGGCTATGCTCCAAAAAAGAATTCTGCATACTAGTAGCCATGGTGAATATGAGGAATTGTGAAAAATAAAAATAAATGTATTGTCATTTGGCGTGTGAGTGAGTATTAATCATCACAAACTACATTTTACCCGACTTGGTTCACTAGTTTAATTTTGCTACATTATTGTAATTTTGTACAGAAACAGTATGCAAGCACCACCATACCATAATGGATACATTCCATATTTAAATGCTGAAGTGCTGCACTGTGAAAGCAGCTCTGTGTGCAAGTCCTCGCTGGTCATTGGCTGCCTCTGCCACCATGGGCACATCTGCATCATCCTGATCTTCCATTGGCAGGTCAGGACAGCCATGCTGCTTCAGGTAGTTGTGCAGCACAGCTGTAGCAATGATCACTTTGCAGCATCTTCTTGGCTTGAAACGAATCGTATTTCGTAAGCACTGGAATCGAGTTTTCCATACTCCAAACATACGCTCGATCATCCCTCTAGTACGGATATGAGCTCTGTTGTACCTTTGCTGCTCAGCTGTTGTGGGATTTAGATGTGGTGTGAATAAATAGTTACTCTGACCATATCCACTATCACCAAGTAGTAGTCCACTATGTTGTCCACTCTCAAATTGTGCACACAATGAAGAGTTGAGAAAAATCCTTGAATCATGGGTTGCACCTTTCCAACGGGCAACAATGTTTGAAAACTCCAAATTAGGAGTGCATACACCCTGAACATTGATTGAAAAACAGTTCTTACGATTCCTGTATTCCTCTGCATCAGGAGTTGATGGACACTTGATGGGAACATGACATCCGTCTATACAGCCAATCACTCCTGGAAAGTGCCCATATTCATAGAATTGCACTTTATAGTTGGCTTGCCCAGCAGCATCAGGGAACTTGATGTAAAGACTCCTCAGTTCACAAATGGCACTGCAGACTTTGTGAACTATTCTACATACAGTTGGTTCACTGACACCACACAAATCACCAGTTTCACGATGAAAGATTCCACATGCCAAGAACCTCAAAGTGATCAGAACTTGCAGTTGATTGGACACAGGCCTTCCTCTTTGAGACAGAGAGGAAAGTCTAGGCTCAAGCAAAGTAATTATCTCCAATGCATTTTCCTTGTGCATACGAAAGCGGTCTCGAAAAGTTATTTCATCAAACTGATTCAATGGATCACTCCTATCCAGCAGTATTCGTCTGGCTGGCCTTTGTCGTGCATGTTGGTCCTCATTTAGATATTCCAAATAGTCCATGCTCCCAAACAATCCAAGCTCAGTTTCACAAACAGTAGCCTAGCCTACTAAGCGGGAGTTAAACCTGCCTCCTTGGCAGATTAGTTTAAGCTTCAATTCAGTCCAATTTAGTCCTGGAGTAGCTCTAATGCTCAATTTTGCAATCGGCTTTGTTTAATCCAGAACAGGCTTAATCCACGAGTATTTTAAGCTACGTCTGTGCAAGTGAATTTCAGTTAAGCCAGCTCAAACAGCATTTTAGTCTGGGACTAGGCTTGAGCCTTGTCTCCGAAACCGGCCCTTAATGTATTAAGTGCCTCTTTTTCTGTTTTAAATGCGGAAGCATCTCAAACTCGATCGATGTCGCGGTCATGGAGCGGTGATGGTTTTAAGATACAATATAAATGGGAAAGGGTGAGATGTAAATTAAGGCAATGTGACTGGTGCTGCAATAAGAACGAGGTGGTGGTGAGGCGCTCTGCATTAATGCATGAAATAACAGATTTATCTCTGTGTGAAGTGGATGACGGGACATTTGCATTTAATAATAGTAAAGAATGGGGGTTGTGGGGGGGGGTAGAATGGTGGAGATGGATGTATATGGGTCTGCCAGACACTCAATAGTTTCAGCAGCATTGCTGTTATTAAAGCAGTTGGTGTGAATTAAAAAGGTGACATGCCTATTGCTGGTGTCTGGGATTTTTTTTTTTACCAAACTGCCGCAGTAATACCCATGCGTTTCACATTTCAGACTGAGCCAGTCCCATGTGAGTGCATTAAATTATTCCCAACGTAGGGTTATTATCATTGTTTAATAATGTCACAATATTTAACAAAAACTTTCCTTTTTTCTGTAGGATGTGGTGTCTTTTTTAGGATTTCTGTGTGATTCTTCTCCTCCCTCAACAACCGCAAAATAAATAGAAAATCATACAATTGGCAGCTTATCCTTTGTTGGAAGGGAAACACTCTTTCACTTCACTGAAAGCCAATGCACATTCTGATCGGCCCTTTCGGCTTTAGATGAGATATATCTCTGCTGCCAGCCACCTTGATTAGCCAAATATGATTCCAAACCTATAAGAGAATGGAATGGCAGCTAAATCTCTGCAAACACAGCTGAGAAACACAATTTTGAAGGTGCATATTTTCATATAATAAGGAACCACAAATACAGCAGGGGGGGGGGGGGGGGGGGGGTCAAACCCGAAATTCGGGGAAAATCAGGGCCGAGGGTGAAAAAAAACAAGGGGGGCCTCTGGTGGAGAAAAAAAACCAGCCCACCCAGAAGTTAAAAAAAAGAATTTCTCCTCCCGTGATGGGAAGTAGGCTTGATTTTGAAAAATTCATGGTATCTCAAACCAGAGCCAATTAAAAACCAGGGGCAAAAAGAAAAATATCTGACAAATCCGCCCGGTGTGGGCCCCTTCTAAAAAACATAAGACAGTGAGGCTGGTGCTCGTGACTACACTCTGTACGACGACGCAGTTATCAATGCAGAAGCAACCCTTGGATTTCTATCATGACAAGAGAGTGTGCGATCGTGTGCTTATATTAAAAGAAAAAAGGTCCCGGCCTATATATCTATATTAAAAGCTAAAAATGGATCTAGTGTGCTGAAGAAATATATTATTCTGAGCAACTATTAGACTCCTCATGGCAACAAATTCAAGAATATAATATAAGAATTTACAAAGACTAGTGAAAACCAATTCAACACCCACGTTCTATTGCAACGAAAGCAATCACTATCAGCCAATCTTTTTTTTCGTTCTAAATTTAGGTGGTGCGGCTTGTATTCAAGTGCGCTCTATAGTTAGGAAATGATGGTAAAAGTGCTCTGGGGTGGGAGAGAGGGAAGATGCATTTCATCTACATATGACCCGCACTGGCCTGGCTGCAGGGCACACCAACAACCACCAGGAGGAACTCTGTTGTCCTACTGCAGCCATGACTAAATGACTCTATTATAATACATATTAATAATACAATGTATTTCACACAACCACGACCACCACAACTAATATAACTGCCAAAACTCCTTCTACCTCATCATCAAGCACCACCTTCTCTAAATAACCCCAAAGTCACTGTCTACCACAGCTACGCCTCCACATGACTCTTTAGTCAAAGCAGCACGCCTGAAGCCTTCGCAGGAGAGGAGAGGGCTGGAGTAGCTCACATCCAACACTGCAAAACAAATGTGGAATTGAAAAAATACAGCAATTGCCATTCTTATTCCGGACTGAACACACGGCCACTAACACTACAACTTACACCATCGCAACACATACAGCAACTACACCGACCACAACATCCGCCGCTACCCTCTGAATGACTGCTGTCATGATGAAGTCGATGAGGCTCATGTCA